GGTGGGTGAGAGAGAGCTGGGGTTGAGCTGGTGGTGGCTCAGGCGCTGTAGGGGGGTGGGGGCCCGGCGCCGCGGGCGAGGCGCGCGCCGCTCGTCGGGCGCTCGCCACGGGCCCTCCCTGCTCACCACACCACTCTGCCCCCCCCCCTCCTTCCTCCTCCCTCCCTGTCTGCGCCCCCTCCCTGTCCGCTGCAGGGCCTGGATGAGGTGTACACCGGCGGGCGGCAGGAGGACAGGCTGGCGCTGGATGTGGAGGTGGCGCTCACTCGCAAGGATGAGTATGGGCGGGTGCTGACCCCCAAGGAGGCCTTCCGCCAGCTGTGCTACAGGTGCGGCCCGCCGGCGAGCCGCTGCCGGCCCCGGGGTGGGCCTGCCGGCCGGGGGGTGGCTGCCGGGCGGCGGGCTGGCCGGGCCGCTGGCTGGCGCCAGGAGCGCGGCAGCCGCCGCAAGTGCAGCGTGCCCTGCCGGCCCTCAATCTTCTCTTGCGTGTGTGCCCTGCCCCTGCTGCCCTACCTCCCTCCTGCTGTGCAGGTTCCACGGCATCCAGCCCAGCAAGAACAGCCGGGAGAAGCGGGCCAAGAAGGCGGCAGAGGACGTAGCCAAGAAGAAGCTGGCCAGCGATGTGGGGGCCACCAGCGGTACCGCCAGCCTGGGCAAGATGCAGGCGGCACAGAAGCAGGCGGCCACGCCGTACGTCGTGCTCAGCGGTACCGTCAAGCCGGGGCAGTCGCGGGACGCCATCTCAGGTGCGCACGGGTGGGGAAGACGAGTGGCTGCGGCACCCGCGCCGCCGCTCTGCCGGCTGCCGCTGCTCCCCGACTGGCCCTCTTCCCACTGTGGCACAGCGTGTTGTGCCCCTCAACCGGAGTCCCCTGCCCCCTCCTGCCCCGCTCTGCAGGCTATGCGACTGTGGACCGCGCCGAGCAGCTGACGGCGCCCACGCCGGTGCTCAGCAAGCTGCCCGGCCAGTCGCCGCTGGTGGGCAACGCAAAGGTGCGAGAGGAGGGAAGCCTGTGCGGCGGGCCGCCTGGCTGGCTTCCCTTTGCTGCCCAGCGGAGCTACGGTTGCGGGCCTTGCCCTGCCTTGCCCTGCTCTGCAATCTGTCTCTACCTATTACACTTCTGACCAGCCGCTGTCGCCGCTGCTGCGCCGCTGCCACTGTTGCCGACTGAACTCTGCGCTCCCTTTCCTGTGCCGCAGGTGGAGGCGATGCTGGGTATCAAGCGCAAGGGCGACAGCAGCATGCCGCCGCCGCCGCCGAAACACGCGAGGAAGTAGCGGCGCTTGCAGCGACGTGTGAAGTGCAGCGGCGCGTGAACGTTTGCGCAGCAGGGCAGCACTCTCCATTCGCCTGCTCTCACTTGGATCAGTTGCACAAGTGTATGTGTAAGGCACACACACGAAGCCTGCTGCGTGATCACGGGGAGGCTTCAGACGAAGGGAGGGGCTCACGGGGAGGCTGAAATTGTAGCGACAGGTTAAGAAAGGGGTCCGAGCTGGAATGCCTGCTCCTAGCTCTCCCTTGGCCGATCCAACCCCGTTGACAGCTCCTGAGTCCAAACACTGACGTCACAGTCGTCCAACCTGCTTCGAGCGGGTCGCGTGTGCGAGTCTCGACGCTTCCCCGCTCTGGTAGTCGCGTAATCAACCTTGTTAGCCACGCACAAGCGCCAGCTTACCACCAGCTCCCTGCTGTGGGCGCCTGAAGGCTCCTGACTGGGACCGAGAGCGGCGGCGGCGGCGGCGGCGCGACGGCGGTGGCCGCGTCAACAGCACTTCTGCATCCAGCACACCATGGGGACGCTCCCAGTGCCGCCCACGCTGGAAGAGGCTCGCCTGTTTGTGGGAACGACAGTGGAGCGCCGCTTCAGGTAAGTTATCCTGCTGAACGGAGGGAAGCACAGTGGGCACTCCCGCCGTGCCACACTGCCAACGCGACGTGCTGGCTGAACACCCACACACCTCTTGACCGCCTGCCTGCCCGCCTCCATCCTGCAGCACCAGGCAGTTCCGCGGCTGGTACAAAGCGACTATCGATGAGGTGGGTGCGCTGCCAGCCGGGCAGGGCATGCGTTAGCCCTCCGACCACCTGCCTATCGCCCGCTCCTGCACTCGCCGCCGGCTGCCGTTTCACCCAGCCGCCACCAGCACCCTGCCAGGATCCTGACCCCATGGCTGCTGCTCGCAGGTCAACTTAGGCACGGAGCTGGGCTTAGAGGGCGAGGAGGGGCGGCGGCTGTGGTGCCTCCTGAGGTGGGCGTGCCTGGTGGCGCACGCGAGGACGCGCCTCGGTGCCCGCTCCTCTGCCACCTGCCCACCCAGCTGCCACCCCTGCCACCCCTGCCTGCTCCCCTGCCCCTCCCCCTCCAAATTTTGCAGGTATGCTCCAGAGGGGGATGATCCCGGGGATGTCGAGGACCAAAGCTGGGAGTATGTGTGGAGCACCCCCACCCGCTGCCGCAACCACCGAGTGCCGCCGGCAGCCCACGCCTGGCTGCACGCAGCCGTGGACGCCCAGCAGCAGCTGCTGCAGCAGCAGCAGGCGGCTGGCGGTGCGGGGGCAGCGGGGGCAGCGGGGGCGGATGCGGGAGCAGGCAGCATCAGCAGCCCTGCCGGGGTGGCAGCTCCTGCGGCGGAGGCGGCGGAGGCGGTGGCGACGGGCGTGCCGCCGCGTCCGTCCCGCGACACCAAGCGCCGCCGCCGGGCCACCACCACCGCCACCGCTCGCCCGCCCGGCTCGCCGGCGGCAGCGGTGGGGCTGCTGGTGGCAGGGCAGGCGCCGCCGGCACGGCGGCAGACGCTGGAGCAGCAGCAGCAGAAGCAGGCGGCGGCGGCGCCGGTGCCCACCCCCGCCACCGACCCTGCCCACGCCAGCCTGGATGCCCTGGCCGAGGCGGCTGCCTCCCAGCGGCAGGAGCAAGGCATGGGCGCGTGTCGCAGCGTCAAGGCGGCGGCGGGCACTCCCTCCCACAGCCAGGGCACTACCATCGCCGAGACTGTCAGGATCCGTCGGGGCAGGCGGCAGGCGGCCCCGGCCTCTGCAGATGCACACTCGGCGCCTGGAGGGGCCTCCCCCACCACGCCGCAGGCCCTGCTCCCGCTCGACGTGCGCTCGCTGAGCCGGGAGGGAGGCGCGGCGAGGGCGGCAGGCGCCGGCCCCGCACCCGCGCCCGCCTACCTCGCCGCCGCCGCCGCGGCCGCGGCCGCCGCCGCGGCCCAGGAGGCCGCCGGCCCGCCACCGCCGCCCCCGGGCCTGCTGGGGGTGCCGCCGCAGCAGCACTTGGACCTTCTGACAGAAGCCATCCAGCCTCTGGCCAGCGCCGACTCGCCCGGCGCCCTGGCTGCCGCCTTTGAGGCGCTGGAGCTGCTGCCGGGGCTGGCGGGGCTGAGGGAGGAGGAGGTGCTGGTGAGCGGACTGCTGGTGATGTCAACCGGATGTGCTGCCTCCTTCCCTGCCGGTGCCTGCTGGTATCCTTGCCCCGCCAGCAGTGCACAGCAGGGCACGGGACCGGCTGCCCTGTCGCACGCTGTGGCTCGACATGTGACCCCCGCTGAGTGCCTGCCTCTGCCTTCATGCCCACCGCGAGAAGCATCCATCAGCGCTGCCCTTCACTCGCAGGCCTTCAAGCTCCTGCTGCTGCGAGACAAGGAGCAGCGGCAGCTGGTGTGGCGGGAGCTGCGCCGCCTGCTGCTGCGCCGCAGCATGGCGGCCGCCGCCGCCTGGCTGCGCGGCTGCGTCGGCCAGCTGGGGATCGGCGGGGCGCGGGGCGGCGCGGGGAGCGGCGACGGCGCAAGCGGCAGCCCGCCGCCTGTGGGGCCGTGAGGCAAGCGCGGGGACCAGGGTTCTTGCAGTGAACACGGATCAGTGATTTCATCGGCGGGGGCACACATGTGGCCCTTGTTGGGAGCATTGTTGAGCTCCGAGGGGAGCGGTGGGCGGCAACACTGGCGTGCCGCTATTGATTGAAGCGTAGGAAATCTTCTGTTTGAACCTTGGCATGATTAGAAAGCATCTGGGTATTTTGTGTGAACTTCATGGTCATTGGGAATCGTCAAGAGGCAGTCCTGGGTTAGAAGCTGCTGCTGCATGCTGTGGCGCTGCCGGGGCGGCCGCCAGCTCAGCCGAGGCCATGCCGGACGTGAGCGCCAGTAAAGGAGCGATCAGGCGCCAGCTTCTTCCTCCTCTGCCACACCATGTCGCATCCACCGTGCCCTGGGCCGGCGCAGCAGCGGGATGCGCCGCCCAGCTCGTCTCCAGTCGCGGGCAGGCCTCCGCCGGCGCAGCGCCCGCGTGCAGAGCATCAGGCATCGAGTTAGCCGATGTTGCAATTGCTTCCCTGCATCGCAGCGGCGGCCGCCCTGGTTGCCGCCCTGGTTGCCGCCTGCCTTCGCCGCTAGCCGAGCCGCACCCTGGCGTGACTGCTGTGGTGCAGGCGCACCACCCTGTTGTCTGTGGTGGCCCTGGCCTGGGGCCCTGGGGCCGTCTTGGAGTCGCTCAAGGGAGAGGCCTCCCTGTGGCAGCAGGAGGCACAGCTGTATGGCCGCAAGGCCGCCGCCGCCTTGTCTGAAGCCACGGGAGCCGAGGAGGGGCAGGCAGAGGCGGCGGCGGCTGACGCCACACGGCTGGACCCGCAGCTGGCAGCAGCGCTGCTGGCCGCGCCGCTGGCAGCTCTCAAGCAGGCCAGCAGTAGCAGCAGCAGCAGCGCGAGCGCAGCCGGCGGAGAGCCAGGTGGCTGCGCCGGCGCGGCGGCGGCTGCGCCGCAGCTTCCGCGGCTGGAAGAGGAGCAGTACCAGTGGGACTATGCGGTACTGCTGGCTCAGGAGCTGCCCTACTTCGAGAGCGCCGCCTCCTGCGGCCACTGCGGCAGCGAGGGCGGGCCCGAGGCGCTGGCTGACCGAGCATGGTTTGACTTTCTTTCTTACATCCAGGCAGGTGCCGCTGCCGACAGCCAAGCACCAGCTTCCCTGCTCCTCCATCAGTGCAGCAGCCTACTGCTGCTGTACTGCCAGCCTGCTGCTTGCTGTGCTCCTGCTGCCGCCGCCGTTGCCGCCGTCGCCGCCGCCGCCGCCGCTGCTTGTTGGGGCCCTCCCAGCAGCAGCGGCACTGCACCTTAGTGTGACGACAGCAGTGTCATATCTCCCTCCCCACCTATGCTGCTCGCACATCTGCCTCATGCCTTGCTGCCACCCTCCTGTGCCTCCCCCTCCCCGCTTGCCAAGCGCAGTTCAAAGCGCTGGGCCGCCAGCTCAGCGCCGCGCTTTCCTCCACGGGCGCTGCTGCCGCCGCGCTGTCGGGCTGGCAGCGCATGCACGCCGGCTCCCCAGAGATGCAGCTGAGGGCCGCGGAGCAGGCCTGGGCAGCCGGCGGCGTGCCGCCGGGCCGCGCCCCGGCAGGCTTTGGCGGCGGCGGCACGCCCGACATGCAGGCGGCGGCAGCGGCTGCGGCCTTTCGCGCGCGCGGCCAGGCACTCGACGGCAGCCGCAGCGGCGGCGGCGGCGGCGGCCAGGCTCCCCGCCTCACCCCTGCAGATGCGCTGCGCCTGTCCCTGGGCGCCGCCATTCTGGGACACATAGAGGCCGACCTCGCGGCAGCGGCACGCGGCGGCGGTGGCGGCGGCGGCGGCGCGGCGGCCGCCCTGGCCGCCATCCGCGGCACCAGCCCCGAGCTGGATTCCATTAGGGATGGGGCCAGGGCGCTGCTAGAGTACTTCACTGACAAAGGTGCCTCCTGTTTTTTGGGTTTAGTTTAGGGTGTAGGGTTTGCTGCTCAAGGAGCTGCTTGCCTGCAGGCCTGACACCTTTGCTGCCTGCCTGCCAGCTTGCCTCCCCCGGCCGCGCGCCCGCCTTCCTGCCGCTCGCTGCCGCCGCTTGGCGGCCTGCCCGGCGCCTGCCGGCATGGATCCGCTGCTCCTAAGCGCATCCACCCACCCACCCACCCACCAACCAACCAACCAACCGACCGCCGCCGGCCCTGCCTGCTGTGACCGTGCTGCGCCCCTCCCCGCAGGTTTGGTGGCTGCCGCTCGCTGCGCCCAGTTTGGCTTGTCCGCAGATGAATACGAGGTGCTTGCGCTGCAGCCAGCAGCCCCGCCCTTGCCGCCGCTCAGGCCGCCGCATGTGCCGCTGCTGCGCCGCGCCGCGCGCGCTGCCGCTGCAGGCTTCCATGCCTCGGCTGCCCTCGCTTTCTTCGGAGCCTCAAAGAACGAGGAGCGAGTGCGTGGCGTCGGCGCAGTGGCCGCCTGCCCGCCTGCCCACCCTGCCCGCCTGCTCGCTGAGCGCGGTTGTGCCGGCCGGCTGTTAAGCGCCGCCATGGTGGGGTCCCAGCGCCAACGGATGCCCCTGCCTTGCTGCCCCTCTGATTGCGCTGCGCAGAACCACTACACGTGGAGCATCGGGGAGCCCGCCTTCCTCAAGTACTGGCTGCAGTCGCCCGCCACCCTGCGCTCGGCCGCGGCGCTGGACGCAGAGGAAGGCTTCAGCCAGGTGTGTGTGTGTGTGGTTGTGTGTGTGTACGCGCGTGTGTGTGTGACTTGAAGGGCGGGGTGCTGGAGGTAGGAGAGGTGCCTGCTCATCGAGTAATCCGGCGGCAGCGACGGCCAGCCCGCCTGCTGGCGCCCGGCAGCTTGGCGCACGCCCCACCTTCCTGCTGCGCCTGCCTGCCTGCCTGCCTGCCTGCCTCTGCAGGATTATGTGGCTGCCACCCTGCAGGCCTACTTCCGCCGCTGCGGCGTGGCGGCTGCCTCCCTCAAGCGCTACCCCTCCTACAGCGAGCCGCAGCTGGTGGCGGAGCAGTGGACGCTGCGGCGGGTGGCGCCGCTGCCGCCGGACCACGACTGGCAGCAGTACCGAGAGTGGCAGCCAGACTACTGCCCCCTGGCTGACGAGGCCTGCTACTAGGCGGCCAGGCAGGTAGCCCTGCGTTGCTGCTCTGCTTCTGCTCCGTTCAGTGTCCTTCTTGTCCTTCTTCTGGGCCATGCAAAGGGTTCTGCGGCATGCAAAGGGTTCTGCGCATGCAAGGAAGAAAAACCCTCTGCGGCATGTGCTGGGGGCCACCACCTCTCGCCAATCCTTCCCTAGCTTCCTGATTCGTCGCCAATTCATAAAACTACAGGCATTGCTTCCTGCTCTCTCAAACACACGGTCGTGCACAGCATCATAACTGTTGCTTCACTCAAGGAGCACTCGGATAGTGGCACAGGGTCCAGGCACCGCCCAGCAACACCACAGCCGTCATCATTGCTGGCGCAGGCGCCACTGGCGCGTGGAGCTGAGGGCGCGCGCCAGCCAGCCAGCCAGTCAGCCGGCCGGCCGCGGCGGGCGTGCCCAGGGCCGCTCACCGCAGCCGCTGCAGGGGGCAGCCTGGGATCCCAGCCGGGGCTGCCGGACGATCCTCACCGCAGCTGCTGCAGCTGCTGCTCCCAGTCGGGGGTGCCAAACAGGCGCTCCATGGCGAGGCGGGCGTTGATGTTCACCTCGTCCACTCGTGTCTGAACACACACACACACAGCAGGTAGCAGGGTAAGGTAGTAGGGCAGTGTAGGGTAAGGGGTAGGGTAAGGTGTGATGTCAAGACTAGGGGTCCAGAGGGGCCGGCCACCCATCAGCCAGCCAGCTGAGACCGCCGCAGCCGCCGAGCCAAGCACGCAAGCGGCGCAGCACAGAGCGCCCGGCCGCCGCCCGGGCCCCGCCTGCCAGCCAGCCGCCCGGCACGCACCTGCAGCGCGTACAGGCTGCCGCTGGCGGTCTCCTGCACCAGCAGGCGGCTGGGGCGCTGCGGGTCGACAGTCACAATGTACAGCCGCCCGCCCTGCACACCAGACAGGCGGGAACCCGTTGAGTAAAAAATTGAGGTATGGGTTAATGCACAGCCAGGACTGGGGCGCCTGCTGCTGCAATTAGTGTGCGTCGGGAGCCGCTGGGCAGGAGCGCAGCTCCCCTTCCAGCCAAGGTCAGCGGGGCACCAGGGTCGACTGACTGCCCCAGGCGGCGCCCGCACCTGGCCCTGCACCGCCAGGGCCGCCGCCTTCCCCGACTGGCGGTCCATGATTGGTATCACTGCAGCGCAGGCAGCAGGCGGCCAGGCGGCAGCAGGGCGGCAGTGTGACGGACAGAGGTATTGGGAAGCGGCAGTGGGCCAGAGGTGTTGGAGCAGGCGGGCCGACCAACGCCTTTCGCTCCGGCCAGCCTCGAAACAACGGCTGGCTGGCCGCACGCTGTGCCGCTCGCAACCCTCAAGTGCCGGCCGGTCCCGGGGGCGCGGCAGGGGCGCGGGGCAGGGGGAGGCCGGCAAGCAGGAGGGCAGGGCTGGGCCTGGGCAGCGAGAACGGCAGCAGGAGCAGATGGGCGCGGGCCTCACCTGGCGGCGGCACCCCCTCCACCCTCAGCTGGCTGGCCACAAAGCCCAGCTCCGCCTCCTCCCCGGGCGGCCGCAGCTTGGTCAGCAGGCCCTTGCTGCAGCGGGCGGGTGGGGGGTGGGGGGCGAGTGTTTGGTGCATGTGTGCCATAGTGGTGATATTTATGTGCGGAGGCCGACAGCCGCACCGCTGGTGCCAGGGGTGGCTCCCCACCTCCCCCCTTCCCTCTACAAGGTGGGCGCAGCAGCCATGGTGCTGGCAGCCGGCTGGCGGGCATGCGGGCAGGGCCAGGCGGCGCGGGCTGGAACAGCGGTGCAGGCGCGCCGCACCTGAGCTGGACCCCCACAGCCAGGGCTCCCAGCAGCACGCCTCCAGCCACCAGGTCGCGCTTGCTGATGCCCTGCGCCAGGCGGGTGAACACACGAGTGGCCAGGCAGGAGGGCAGCAGTGGAGGCTGGGTGAGGTCGGGTCTGGGCAGGCAGCGGCGGCGGTCGACGGCGTCGGGGTGAAGAGTGTTTGTGCGGATCGGCGCAGGCAGGCCACCAGGCGATATGTATGGCTCTCCGCCGTAGCTGCATGGTATTGTGCAATGCATGCATGCACGGCGCGCACCTCGCTGGCTGGCCCTGGCGGCGGCGGCGGCGGAGGAGGAGGCGGCGGCGGAGGTGGTGGTGGCGCCATCGGCACCGGCAGGTTCCGCCGCTGCTGCTGCTGCTGCCCCAGGTTGCCACCACCGCCGACATCCCCGGGCTGCCGCTCTGGCTCATAGCCGTTTGCTTGGACTGGGCGCGACGGTGGGTTTCGCTGCCTCTGCGCCGCTGCCAGCATGCCCCGCCGCTGCCGCGCCTGGCCGTGCGGCATCCCCGCGGCTGGCGCGCAGGCTGCGGCGCGGCCTGCCGACACGCTGCACCGGCCAGCTTGCATTGCTTCGTTGCTGCTGGGCGGAGTGCGAGTTGTCGGTCGGGTGATGGCGGTGTCGCGGCGCGATTTAGCCTTCAACACGTCAACCAGTCAATGTTGACCAGTGCGCCAGCGGCAAAACACCGATCGAGACATTGTACGGCTAAAGTACAGGGACGGCCCGCTTCCCGCACCGCCGCCCCGCCACGCGTTGGGCAGGCATGCACACATGACGCTGAACAGGAACAAAGGATAGCATGCTATAACCAGTCGCCATGGTGTGCAGTGATGGAACTCGGCCAATTGAGCTGGCGGCAGCAAGTTCTCCCCGACGTCGGCCGCTGCCGCACTGCCCGCATCGCCCTCTCCTCTCTTGAGGAGGTGCTGATCACAAGAGATGGATGACGCCATGCAAGCTGTGCAATTCAGGGCTATCTCTGAATAAAATCATTGATCGAGCTCCCCTGAGCTGGTAACAAACCAGCCTGCGGCGCCCAATGGTACTGCCAGACGCACCTGGAGCTGCCAGCTCAGAGATCGCCTGCATCTCCCGTGCATCCCCACAATCACCCTCGGAGAGCCCCTCCTGCCCCCTGCAGCCCTGCACAGCACCCGGCTGTGTCTCCTCGCCACCATGGGTCTCGAGTTGGAGGGAATCGAGACGCTGCGCGCAGAGCTGCGCGGCAGGCTGCTGCTTCCCTCGGAAGCGGCCTTCACGCAGGCCACCAGCGTCTGGTCCGTGTCGCCCAATCACCCCGCGCGCCTCCCCGCCCCGGCACTGGTTGTCCAGCCGCGCGGTGAGCGGGCGGCTGCCGGCGCCCTCCGCAGCTGCCGGACTTCACTGTTCCTGCCTGCCTGCCAGCTGCTGGACGCCAGCCCGATGCCAGATCCTGCACCAGGGGAAGCCTGCCTGGACAGCCAACATCTCCCCCTGCCTGCAGGCACCGCTGACGTGTCTGCCGCCGTCAAGTTTGCCGCCGCCCACGGGCTGCCGCTGGCGGTGAGGGGCGGGGGCCACGGCGGGGTGAGCTCCCGCTGCTGGCTCACATGTGCCCATGCGCCATTGCCAACTTAAAGCCACCACATCGCTGCAATAGCGCTGCGTGCACCCCCTCCAGCCCCGCCTGCGACACACGCATCATGCCGCCGTTCGAGCTCTTAACGGCGGCCCCTGCCCTCTCCACCCGCCCACGCGGTTGCCGCTTGCTCCTTGGCTGCAGGGCAACCCCAGCTGGGTGGACGGCGGCCTCATGATTGACCTATCCCTCATGCGAAGGTGGCGCTGGTGCTGCTGCTGCAGCTGAAGCCGTGCACCGCCTCCTGCATGCCCCTGTGCCCCCTCGCGGCTCAAGGCTCCAGCAGGGCTCGGTGGCGCATGTCCACATCCCCACTGCCGCTGCCGCCGCCCTGCCCCCGCCCACCTGCAGCGTTTATGTAGATCCAGGGGCTAAGACGGCGGTGGTGGACGGCGGCGCTCTGGCATGCGACGTGGACGCAGAGACGGCCTTGCACGGGTGGGCTGCTTGTGTTTGTGTGTGTGCGTGTTTGTGTGTGTGTGTGTGTGTGTTAGCGGGGCGGGGTCAGCATCAGACTGTGAGTGCAGGCTCTGTTTTCGATCCACAAACAAGGTTTGTATGGCTTTGGCCGGATGGAGCATTCCCGCCCGTGCCCGTCAGGAGTTTTCTTCCCCCCGTTTCAGCACCGCAAGTCGCTCCCGGCGCCCGCCGCACCCCCCCGCGCTGCAGGCTGGCCGCCCCGCTGGGCGTGTGCTGCGTGGTGGGCATGGGGCTGGTGCTGAACGGCGGCATCAGCCTGCTGTCGCGCGCCCATGGGCCGGCCTGCGACAGCATCCTGGGCGCGCAGGTGGTGCTGGCGGATGGCTCCGTGGTGAGCGCTGGGCAGCCCCCTGCTCCCGCTTCCTTAGTTGCTGCTCCGGTGCTTGCGCCACCCTCAGCAGGCTCGAGGCCTGTCTGGTGTAGTAACTGCGAACAGCGCGCAGCCAGGCGCAGGGTTGGTGTGCCTTGCCGGCCGCATGTGCGCGGCGCGGCGCGGCGCGGCGCCTTGCTTGCTCCGCCACACCCCACCGCCGGCTGCAGGTGAATGTCACCAGTGGCGGCCCCGACCCAGACCTGTTTTGGGCGCTGAGGGGCGCAGGTGGGGCCTATGCTCAACCCTGCCGCGGAGCTGGGCTGCTGCTATGCCAGCCAGCGCGGCCGTGCCGCGCCCACGCCTGCGGCTTGGCCCCTTGCCCCATGCCTTGCATGCCCGCCAGGGCGAGCCTCTGCCAGTCCTGCCTCAGCCTCTGCTTGCGGATGATGTCTGCGCTGCCACTGGCACTGCCTGCTGCCGCTGCCCCGCTGCCCCGCAGGCTCCACCCTGGGGGTTGTGACCAAGCTCACCCTGCAGCTGTATGACGCCCCCACCTACTCGGGCGCCTTTGTGTGGAGGGACGACCCGGAGCACGCCACCTTCAAGTGCGAAGCAGCAGCGAGCAGAGATGCAGGCGGGCGCGGGGCAGCAGCAGCGGCACCAGCAGAGCAGTATCAGCAGCCGGGCATGGGCACGCTGCCACGTCAGCGGCCGAGGAAGCCGACGCCGCTTCATCCCTGGCGCGCGTGCCTCGCCGACACCTCCGCTTTGCCTGCCCTGCCCGCCTGCCTGCCTGCCTGCCTGCCCTCCTGCCTGCACACCTCGCCCTGCTCCCTTGCAGGTCTGTCCTGCGCTGGATCCGGGCCGTGGTGCTGCCCGACCCTGCCGTCGGCTTCAACTGCGCCCGCATGGTGCACCCGGAGCTGGGGCCTGTGCTGATTTCGATGGTGGGTGAGGTGGGGGTGGTAGGATGGGGTTTGTATGTGTGTGTGTGTGTGTGTGTGTGTGCTGGAGGGATTGCGGCCGGGAGACGCAGCGCCACCTGGTTCAGTCCCAAGGCAGTGGAAAGCTCAGCCATGCCCCTCCCTGCCCCTCTGCTGGCCCCGCGCCTGATGTGAGCAGCTGGTGATTGTGGGCGACCGGCCAGTGGAGGAGAAAGAGGCTCTGGTCCAACCGCTGCGGGAGCTGGGACCCATCCAGGCGAGCGTGCCTGCAGCGTGGGGAGCTGCAGAGCTGCGTTGGGTTGCGCCTGCCTGCCTGCGCCTGCCTGCGCTTGTCTGGCCCCTGGCCTGGAGCAGGCCCTCTACAGCAGCCATGCGCGGCCTTGCGTGTGCCAGCATGCCCACACTGCCTCCCTCCGGCCCGGCCCCGGGCCCAGCGCAGGACAGCGTGGGCAGGTCCAGCTGGCATCAGACCCAGCTGACTCACTACGAGGCCGTGACGGGCCTGGCCCAGGCCTTCCCAGTGCACTACGAGGCCTGGAGCGGCGGCCACGTGGCGGCGGAGAAGGTGGGGGCGTGTCGGCGGCTCGTGGCTGCCCGTTTCTCCGAGGGCTCGCCGCCGCCGCCGCCGCCGCTGCTGCATCAGCCGGCGGCGCCGCCGCGCCTCCTTGCTCGCCGCCTGGCTGCCGCGCCGCACCGCCTGCACTTGCGCTGCCTCTGGCTCCGCCGAGCCACGTCCCTTGCCGCCTGCACCGCTGCCTGAGCCGCTGCCTGTACTGCTTCCTGTACCTCCTACCATGCCACCTGTACCGCTGCCTGTACCGCAGTTCACCGACGAGTTCATCGACGCGTATGTGCGGTGCACCGCCGACGAGCTGCCGCTGCCCGACTGCGCGCTCACCCTGGCGGTCCTGGAGGTTATGGGAGGGAAGCTGAGGGAGAGCCGGGCGCCCGTGGGGCTCAACGAGGCGGGTGGGTGGAGGCCCGCGGGCGCTGGAGTGCTGCCGGATGCTGTGCTGAATGTGCATGGCACGAGGTGGGAAGGTGTGGCCGTGGCTGGGGCCCGCAGACTGGCCCCTTACTACGATAGTACCGCATGTACATGCTGCCCGCAGCCTGCCCGTGGCCCGCTGCCCCCTCCCCCCCTTCCCTGCAGATCTGCAGTGGGTGGTGCAGGCCGGGTGGGCCGACGCCGCGGCCCACGAGACGGGCAAGGCGTATGCGCAGCGGCTGCGCTCCGTGCTGGGCCCGCTGTCCACCTCCATGGGGCGGTATGTCAACCTGCTGGACGTGGCGGAAGGTGTGTGTTGTTGTTGTTGTTGTTGTTGTTGTTGTTGTGGTGGTGGTGGTGGGGATCCATCCCATGAATGACATGTATGTGTGTGTGCATGTGTGTGTGTGTGTGTGTGTGTGTGTGTGTGTGTGTGTGTGTGTGTGTGTGTGAGTGATGCCATCCATGGGGATACGCCACTTCGGACGCCCTCAACCGACACCATGTGTGTGACGACCTGCCAGTTGCCACCAGGACAACACATGATCAGCCCTGCTGCAGCGGGGGCAGGCGTGGCGCAGGGTGCTCTGGCTGACGGCCCGCCGCCGGGTGCTCTGCCGCCGCTGCAGACCCCGAGATGAGCTACGAGGAGGCCGCCACCAAGGCGGCCGGTCCCGCCAACCTGGAGCGCCTGCGCGCCGTGAAAGCCAAGTACGACCCGGCAGGCGTCTTCCGCAACACGCCATTCATGAAGGTGCTGGCCGTGAAGCCATGAGTCCCTGTTGCTTACCAAGTCTCTGGATGAGCACCCATCTCTACGGTGGTACCACCGTACCACTGGTGGTGTAGACATGTCCATCGGTGTGGCAGCGACCCTGCGGACTTGCAGGTAGCGCGCTGCTGTTCAGTCCATATGCCATTTAGTCTCAGATCTGTGAAGCTTTTCGTTTTGTCGAACAGATGTGCATCCAGATGCTACGCTGCAGTGTGAAGGGTGCTGGGGCCAGGTGCTGGGGCGCCGGCACCCACCTTGCAGTGCCTCGGGCGGCGGCAGAAGTAGCGCAGGCGCCCATTTGGCCTTGATGACGCGTGTGCAACAGTGCTTCAGGAGATGTATTCTATAGTTGCATATCAATAGTCTGGACAGAAATGCTAAGCATCCCTCCTCCGCTGCATGGGCTGCCCTCGGGCTTGCCCACATTCACCCGCCCACATCCGTCATTCCTCTTCACAACATGGCTACCCAGATGAAGCGCCACCTGCGCCACCTCGTTGCTGGCCTGGCCTCGCCAGCGCCCAGCGATGCTGCGGCCCACGCGCTCGAGCGGGAGGCTCAAGGATTTGACCAGGCCACCTTGGAGTGTTCATCAGCTGAGCTGTCTGACGCCGCGGAGCTGAAGAGGTGAGCGCCGCCGCTCGGCCCACCCTGCCACCGCCAATGCGCACACTGTAGAGGGCGGCAGCACAGACCGGCAAGCCCCAACGTTGCTGAAGCGTTCTTGTGCCTTCATCCTGCCTGCAGCCTGATGTTCGAGCTGTCTGCAGCCCTTGAGGCACTCAACACGGCGCTGCTGCAGAGCCGCCTGTCCCTCTCCGCAACCGGCCTGAACAACATCGCTGCCTGGCTGCAGCTGAGTGCCGCCTGCGTAGCCACAGTAGCGTGCTGCCACCTGGGCAATGCGCTGGCTGTGCAGCGCAACGACGCTTTCCGCATTGCGCGCGGGGGTATGCTGCTGGTGTGCGGCGCCGGCCAGGCAGCCTTGGCAGAATGCGTGGACAAGGCCCGGCTGCAGCCTGGGGAGCAGACTCTGGGGCCACTCGTCGAGATGGTTCAGCAACAGCTGCAGGCTGTGTATTTCATGCCGATGCTGCTGCTGCCCCAGCTGCCTGCCATTCGCCCTTTGACCGACGGCTGGATAGCCGGGCGAACGAAGCAGGAGATTGCGGCATTCCTGGCATCCATGGCGCCGCCGCAGGCGGTGCCACCCTGGCTGGCAACAATGGCTGAGGCGCTGCACCTTAGCTTCTACCATCCAGGCGGGTGCTGGGCTGCGCGTGCGGCTTGAGCTTGTCGGTTTCCTTCTGTGCCCGCAGCAGAACGGCATGCCCGGCTGCTGCCGCCATGCATGGTGGCACCGCACAGCGACTGGGGCTGACCCCTGCCCCGTTCCCTCCCAAACCTGTGTTCCTTCTGTTCAGGGGGCAGCCCTAGCCCTTTGATTCGATCACCGAGCATAGTACACCAGTATGTCTTTGTGGTGAACGTGCTGCTGGTCTTGGCGCCCCGCCAGCACCACCATGCTGCTGCAGCGTCGGTGCCGGTGTCGCGACTGCTGCTGGCTCACCTGGGCACCCTGGCGGCGCAGCTGGAGGAGCTGTCGGCAGCTGGCAGGCTGAACGGTGCCGGCACCGGCGCTGCTGCCGCCGGCCCTGCTAGGTTGGTGGACGGGCAGCCGATGCTGATTGAGGTTCCGGCAGAGCAGCTGGCGCTCGCTACCGTGGCTGACATCGTCAACGCGCTGGCGTCAGACCAGATGCGGCCGGCGATGCAAGCCGTTGCAGGCGAGCCAGCTGTCGGGCTGCTCGCAGCGGAGCATTCGGCACGCATCTTTTTGGCATTGCCCGTGCCAGCTGCGGTTGAGGGGCCAAGGCTGGCACCAGCATGCGAGTGTGCTGCCCGGATGCTGGGGGGGATCTGCGTTACACTGAAAGCAGCACTGCCGGATGCTGACGGCACTGTCAGCAATGACTGGAATTCAGCTGCCTTGGCTGTGATGAGGGCGGTGCCACACCTGGCTGCCACACTGCACGCCATGGCGCTGCCAGCTGACGGCGAGATTGCAGCCCGGCTGTGCAGCTACTTTTTGCCCCCGCTGGAGCTCTTCTTCACCATGCTTTACATGGACAGCGTTTGCATGGACAGCGGCGAGCAGGTGGTAGCCTGGGCCGCTGCTGCAGATGCCTCCCTGCGGCTGCTGCCCCGGCTGGCGCAGCTGGATGCCTGGTGCCAGCAGGAGCGGCGGGAGCGCCAGCAGCGGGGGGAGGTTGATGGCGAGTGGGAGGCAGGCTGCTGGTCCCGCACTAAAGGACGTAGTTACCCTGCCATTTTGGCAGCCAATGTGGCAGTGGTGCTGTGGTCTTCCAACACTAAAAATGCTTTGGAATGGGCCGACAGCGCCGGCTTCAGCACCACGGCTAGCCCCAGTCAGCCAGAGCAGCTGCCACCCTGCAGTTTAGTGGAGGCGGTGTGGGGCCTACACAGCCGCAGCTGCCGCCTGATCCACTGGCTGCTGCAAGCGCCGGACCGCCCTGCGCTGGTTCAATTCAGATGGCGTTCCATCATCGTTGGCCATGCGCAAGCGCTGACGCTTGCTGCGATGGTGCTGCTGGGAGCAGAGAGGCACGGCGTTGGCGGCAGCACCTCCTCTCCAAGCAGGTGAGCTGCCCAGATTGTGTGGTAGAGATGCAAGTGTGCACGCTGCTGCTGCCGTTCACTGGAGCCTGCCGCTACCTGCAGCTCGCTGCGTGCGCTGTGCGCGGCGCATTTTGAGGCGCTGCATGCCCTGCTTGGGGCTCCAGACGCGGCAGCGCTGCTGATGTCAAGGCCTCCTGCGGAGCTTCCTGCGGACGCGGCGTCGCACGCTCTTGTGGGCAGCGGCCTGGCAGCTGTGCTGTCCGGTATCGCGAGCCTTCCGCTGTGCTGCTGGCCGCTGATGGATGAGGCAATGCTGGAGCAGCTGGTGAAGGCGCTGCAGCCCTGCTTCGCTGCGGTGAGGCCGTCGCTGGGACTCGCTGCCACCGTCGGCGGTTGGGCTTGCTGGTGACTGGCTGGGGCAGCCGGGGTCTGGTGCGCAGCGTGTCTTGGCGCCGCGCTGCTGGGCCACCGCGCAGGGTGCAGCATGGGTAGACACCTTAGCAGCCCCACCGTCCTGCCTTCCTTCCCATCCATCCTCACCTGCTGTCCAACACTCCTTGGAGCTGCTGCTCTTTGCACGTGCAGGAGGTGGCTGGTAGCGTCATCGCTGCCTACAAGGCAAAGGTACTTGCTTCTTTCTGCGGCGGTGCCATCGGCCAGCCGCATGTGGCCATCGCTCTGGTCAGAGCCGGCATGCTGCAACTGCTGCTATCTCGTGAGCTGATGCTGGGCGCTGCCATCGTCGCGGCGCAAGCATTGGTGAGCATCTGCTGGCTACCTTGGGGCGCAGATTCATGTGTGCGCTGCGATTGCAGCATGCCAGGATCCATGACAACCCCAGGCAGCGAGCGGCTCATGCCATTGCCAACCTAGGACCAAGCGTGGCAGCCTGCAGGCATCTGCTGGGCTGCCTTCCTGTTTGTTTTCTCGCAGCTACGCAATTGACTGCTTCCCTGCCTGCCTGCAGGCCACATTCCGATCGCTGGTTGATTCCTTGAAGAGCGCTGCTGAAAGCATTCGGCAAGCACTGCTGGAGGGCAGCCAGGTTGGGGACGCCGCCAGCAGCAGCAGCCAGGGCGGCAGCAGCATCCATGCGGCACCGGCAGCGGACCTGGCACAACAGCTGGCGGCTGCGCTTGAGGCGCTGCCACCTGTGCCCGAGGCAGGTTCCGGCGAGGCACTTTCAGAAGCCTCGGCACTGCTTCAGCCTCTAGCAGCGCTCGCCGACCTGGCGCATCAGGGCTGGCAGCAGTCGGGGCAGGCGGCCGCAGCCCGGCTGGAGCTCGCGCAGGCGGCTTCTGCCCGCAGCTGCGCCTACCTGGCCTGCAGCAACCTTTGTGGCGAGGGGGGCCCCGCCGCGGGTCAGGGCGTTGGCAGCCGGCGATGTGGGCAGTGCCGAGCGGTGTGGTATTGTGGTACCGCCTGCTCCCATGCCGACTGGCGCGCCGGAGGGCACCGGCGTGTGTGCAAGGCGCTGGCGGCGGCGCGGCAGGCGGCCAAAAAAGCATTAGCATGAACATTAGGTCTCTCTTTAGCACTGTACTCTATCTCTGGACTTGAAGGTCTGTCAGATGCTATAAGCTCATCTACCAAGTCTCTGGACTGCTGAGTCTGCTGCGGGTTGTGTCGGCTGCAGCACAGCACTCCCAGCATGCATCCCCCGTGACTGCCCCCCGTTGGCTACCAGTCTGCCGACAGAGCTGACCAGGGAGTGCACTTCAGCCTTGGTGAGACTGCCGCCCTGCCCCCGGGCGGCCATCGCGACGGGCACGTACCAGAGCCTGCCAGGGTGCAGAGCACATGATGGGGGATCTCAGGCAGCTTTCTGCTGTCGCAGGTTGGACTGCGCCAGCTGGCGATATGACACTGTCATCCAAATGCCTCCTTCACCTGCAATAATGCTGATAGCTCGGCATGCGAACGAGGTGGCGGCGCTGAGGTGGCGGCGGCGATAGGTGGAAATGGAATGGTGTCGTGAAGCACCGAAATCGCTGCTTTTGCATCCAGACGGTGTGGGTCGGGCCTTGGCCGGGCTCCTGGCCGCCATGGGGGCGCTGCTCATCACCGCTCTTTGCGCTCTTACCGCAATCAACCCCTCCACATGCACCCCCTTGCCGGTGAGCGTGTGTAGGGCCACTCGCTGACCTCCCGAGACCGCCGCCTGCGCCTCCCGCGTGTCCTTCCCACTTCCCGCCGAGCGGCGCTTAGGAGCCCCAAGCTCTTGCCTAGCCCATCCACCGTTCCTGCATGTGTGATCCAGTGGGCCCGATCCAACCTGCAGGATCCTCCTGGCCTGGCACCCATCTTTGGCCCGGAGCCTCCGCCCATCCCCAGCCACCTGCGCCTGCCGCCGCGGCCGGCAGGAGCGGCGGCGCCGGCGCTGCACAACCAGGGCCTGGTCCGGGTTGCCTACTCCGATCCAGCCACTGGAGTCTACCTGGGATCCCCTTCCATCGCTCAGCTGGGTGCTGACACTCTGTTCATTGCCCACGTGAGTGGCTGATCAGGATATGCATGGCTTGGCGGCAGAAACAGAAAGGTTGTTCGCTGGGCCGCAAGGCGGCAGCCTGGCTGGCTTCCCGGCTCACCCGCTGGTCCTCGCCTCGCCTGATATGGCGGCCCTGCAGCGCCATAAACAGGCTGCTGTGCTGCCTGGCCGGCGCAGGACTTCTTCCCAGAGTGGGGCCGCCCCAAGCGCACCGCCGTGCTTTCTTCCAAGGACAGCGGCGCCAGCTGGCAGCCGCGCGCCCTGGTGCCCGGCCTGCTCTGGAGCACCCTCTTCGCGCACCGAGGCGAGCAAGCAGGGGCAGCAGGGTTGCACCAGCAGCTAATCTGGCTCTTACAAGCTGAGCCCACGGCTTGTGTGCGCTGCAGCCCTGCGTTGCCGGCATGCTTCGACCACTGTGTGGCCTGTGGCCCAGCTGTGCTGCGCTCGCCTGCCTGTGCTCTGTCCTGCTGCAGGGTTGTTATACCTGCTGGGCACAGATGATGCCAGCGAGGGCAACGCTGTGAGCATCGCCCGGTCGGCAGACGGCGGCGCGACGTGGAACCGCTCCGCGCTGCTGAGGCCGCCGCCGGGCTGCCAGTTTGGCACAGGTGCGGCAGGTTGCTGCGCGCCAGCCTTGTGCACATTTAGCAGCTGCATAGAGGCTTGGGTAGTGGTGTTGGTGATGTGCGTGTGTGTGTGTGTGTGCCGTGCCACGCGCGCGCGCGTGTGTGTGTGGCTGTGATGGGAGATTTGGAGGCCATTGAAAGCCACATTCTTGATGGCCTGCTGCTCTGACTGCTCCTTGCCGCTGTGTATGGGCAGGCGCGGTGCCGGTGCTGCTCGAGGGCGGCAGGCTGTGGCGCGGCATGGAGTATTGGTAAGCCCCAAGCGCTGCTGTGGCGCCGCCCCACCTGCCATGCGTGCCGCAGCTCTCATGCCAAGACTTGCTGAACTGGTGCTGCGTTGAGCCCTGTGCTTGCGCCGCCTCTGTTATCACGCTCGTGCTGCGCGGCCTCGCTCGCGATTGTGGCGGTACCGCCGCCGCCCGGCTGCAGGTGCGGCTCCAACCTGCAGTGGCCGCAGGGCTACCACGCTTTCCTAATCTCTGCCCCAGCGGCTGCGGACCTGCTGGATCCAGCTGCCTGGCACGCCACGCAGGCGGTGCAGTTCAACAGGTGCGGTAGGGCGGCCTCCTGGCTGTGTGGCCGGGCTGCAGCACAGCTGCATTCCTCCGCTGCGTGGCCGCCCCGGCTCCGCCCCGTCGAGGCCGCCTGGATGCCTGCCCCGCCCGCCTGCAGCACTGCCATGCTGCCAGCCTGGATGCCGGGGCCGGTGGCGAGCGGCGGCTTCCTGGAAGGCAACGCCGGTGAGCACACCGGCAGCCCAAGCGCTGTGCTGGCTCAGCGAAGGTGTCACTGCCGCGGCGTGGCTCCACCCGTGCAGCAAGAGCCGTGCGGCAAGCCGGGGGCCTGGCTCACAGCCCCGCACCCGCCGCCTGCTTGCAGTGAGGCTCTGGGAGGGCGGTGTGGGCCTGCTGCTGCGCTGCCGCGTGTACGATGGGCTGGGGCGCATGTATGGCGTGCAGCAAGCCTGCCTGTTCAAGCTGCGCCAGAGCGGACCGCAGCAGAGGCCCGAGGTCCCGGCACAGCACGGCCGTCAGCTGGCAGAGGAGGCAGGTGGTGGCGCCCCGAGCCTGCGGAAGCTGGTTTTGCCCCAGGGCACCAAGCCTGCAAGTGAGCAGCAGCCGCCGCAGCGCGGGAGGGCGGGACCAGACGAGGCGCCGTGGCGGCTGCAGTGGCATGGCTTTATCGACATGCCAGGTGGCGGCAACAAGTTCCTAGTGCGGTACGATGCGGTATCCCGGCGGTACCTCGCCCTCACCAACCCCAGCATCGACCGCTACGGCAGCAACCCCGACGCCCGCAACGTGCTGGTGCTGGTGAAGCGCTGCTGCTCAGGGGCTTGGGCCGGAGAGAGACATCCCTCTGCTGCCAAATGGTTCCATGATTTGCTGCATTGCGGCATGCTGGCGTTTAATGTGCTGGTCAACATTGCGCCGCGCCCTTGCATTGACAAAGGGTGACCTTGCACTCCTTCTGCCGTGTTTGACTCGTCCCCCCTCCTTTAACCCACCCCAGGCCCACTCCCTCAACCTGATCGACTGGCGCATCGCCACCACCGTGCTGGTGCCCAACGACGGCCTGAGCTGGGAGCAGAGCCTGTGGTACACCGGCTACCAGTATGCGGGTGGGGAAGCGGCAGGGCGACAGCCAGTCCCCCATCGTTGCTTTTGCGTTTGTAGTTTTGGCCAGTGGGCAGCATTGGGGGAAGGCATGAGCAGACACGCAACTGCTGGCGACACCATGGCGCAGACTGGACGATCGACGGCGAGGACCTGCTGGCGGCCATCCGCACCGCCTATGACGGCGCCAACAGCTTCCACAACAGCAACCAGGTCACCTTCAAGCGCATCCAGCGGTTCAGGCAGTACCTGCCGCGCCCAGCGCCCAGCCAGGGACAGGGCGGGACGGCGGCAGCAGAGTAGAATGTTAGCTAATCGGCTCAGTCATGAATGCTTGCCGACAGTGAATGCCAATTGTGTGATGAATGCCCCAGAGCAAGCACTGAGAGCAAGCTTGCACATGCGCGCCTGCGCCCCAGCTGAGTTGGCAGCGACCGCAGCGTAGGATGGGACTCGGTTCAAGCTGCAAGCGCGCTCTCAACCACGCATCGCGACCACGCATCGGGGCACAGTTGCCATGCGTGGGACGGGGAGGCGCTGCGGACACGCTGGGGCATTCCCTTTCGTTTGGTGCTGTGTGCTGGTGACCATCGCGCTACCAAGCAGCGCCTTGCAACATGTGAGTGCCTGATCAAGCGCCAACAGGCTGTCGGAGCGTGCCAGCACGAGAGGCAGGAGCCTCTGGCGGCAGGCGGCGCCAGCTGAAGGCGCCCCTCCGCTGTGCCTCCTTGTTCTGCCATTCCGCCTCTGCAGGGCCCCGGCCTGCGAGCCATGTACGAGCCTCCGCCCATCCCCAGCCACCTGCGCCTGCCGCCGCGGCCGGCAGGAGCGGCGCCGCCGCCGCTGCACAACCAGGGCCTTGTGCGGGTTGCCTACTCCGATCCCAACACATCCCTCTACCTGAGCTCCCCTGCCATCCTCAGGCTGGATGCCGACACGCTGCTGGTCTCCCACGTGCGCTGCCTTGCCTACTGCCATTCATATCAAATTGAGTTTTGGGTTGGCGCAGTGCGCCGCATGCCTTGCAGCGTCGACGTGTGTGCTGCACCCCATTACTCGCTCCCAGTATCACGCCCGAGGAACGCACTGCGGCCTGCCAGCAAAGGCTGACAGGTATCATCCCGCTGTCCGTGTGTGTGCCCGCCGCAGGACTTCTTCCCTGAGCAGGCCCAGGGGGGCATGCCGCCGCGCACCGCCGTGTATGCCTCCACAGACGGCGGCGCCAGCTGGCGGCTGCGGGCCGAAGTGTGGTACCAGTACTGCAGCTCCCTCTTCCTGCACAGAGGTGCGGTTCAGGCAGCCAAGGGGCTGGCGCCGCTCGCTGCTGCTGCCATGTGCATGCTGGAATGCGCCTAGGCAGCATCACGCCTGCGCCTCGTGCCTGCTGCCGCGCAGGTGCACTGTACCTGCTTGGGATTGATGACGGGGCTGGCAGCAACATGGTGAGCATTGCACGTTCCATGGACGGCGGCGTGACGTGGGAGCGCAACTCGCTGCTGAGGCCGCCACCGAGCTGCTCCTTTGGCACAGGTCGGGACCTCAGTGCTGCCGCCGCCGCCGCTGCATTGCACTGCCATGCCTCCTTGCTTGTGTTTCTGCCTGGTGAAGCAGTGTTGCAGGCTGTGACAGCCGCTTCTGCTGCTGCTGTGCTGGCACCTCGCGTGCAGGCAGTGTGCCAGTGGTGCTGGAGGGAGGCAGGCTGTGGCACGGAATGGAGTACATGTGCGCTTCTTGAGCTCAGCTGCCGCTCCTGCAGCTGCTGCAGCTGCACCACTGCTGGTGTTGCGCCATTTCTGCTCCCACCTCCCACCACACACACCTTTCCTCGCGCCTCGACGCAGCTGCGGGCCCGGCTACCGCTGGCCGCAGGACTACCGCGCTTTCCTAATCTCTGCTTCAGCGGCTGCTGACCTGCTTGACCCAGCCGCCTGGCACGCCACGCGGGCGGTGCAATTCAACAGGTACTGTCAGGCATAGGGCAGGAGACAATGGGGTGGGTGGGTGAACCCGAGTTGGCAGTGGTCTTTGCAGGAGCTGCGGGCAGCCTGGCGTGGCAGCCCGCTGCTCGCCAGCTGGTGCTCACTGTGGGCTTCTGAACCTTTGCAGGTCTCTGGTGCCGGCCTGGATGCCGGAGCCGGTCGAGAGCGGCGGCTTTCTCGAGGGGAACGCAGGCAAGGGCGGGCCTGGTGCCACGCTGGCATGCTCCTAGGCTGCAGAAAGCTTCCCCCATGCAGCCAGGAGCGGCGAGATGCCAACCATAGCCGACCATGCCTGGCCTGTCACCTGCCCGCCACCGCCTGCCTGCTCGCAGTGCGCTTGCCCAATGGCGGCGTGGGCCTGCTGCTGCGCTGCCGCGTGTACGATGGGCGGGGGCGCATGTATGGCGTGCAGCAAGCCTGCCTGTACAGGCTGCGCCCCCAGCCCTCCCCGCGGCGCCCGCCACGGCCGCCGGTGTTGCAGCAGGCGACGGCAGGCGTGCTGCGGCCCGGGCTTACGACGCCGCGGGGCATGCAGGCGCGGGTGCTGCAGCAAGCTGGCCAGGAGGAGCAGCAGCAGGAGCTGCAGCGGCATGTGCCGGCCCAGGAGCCGGCCACCGGCCCAGATCTTGTATGGCAGGGCTTCATTGAGATGCCGGGTGGCGGCAATAAATTCGTGGTGCGGTACGATGCGGTATCCCGGCGGTACCTCGCCCTCACCAACCCCAGCATCGACCGCTACGGCAGCAACCCCGACGCCCGCAACGTGCTGGTGCTGGTGAGGCGCTGCTGCTGAAAAGCTTGGCCCGGAGAGAGACATCTCTGTGCTGCCAAGCGTTTCATGATTTGCTGCATTGCGGCATGCTGACGTTCAGTGTGCTGGTCAAATCGCGCCGCGCCCTTGCATTGATAAAGGGTGGCTTTGCACCCATTCTGCTATGCTTGACTCGGGCCCCCTCCTTTACCCCACCCCAGGCCCACTCCCTCAACCTGATCGACTGGCGCGTCGCCACCACCGTGCTGGTGCCCAACGACGGCCTGAGCTGGGAGCAGAGCCTGTGGTACACCGGCTACCAGTATGCAGGTGGGGAAGCGGCAGGGGCATAACCCGTCTTTCTGCTCGAGCGAGCACTGAGACTGAGACTGAGACACACGCTCCTGACACCACCCGTATCCCTTTTGGCCGGCCTGCGCACTGCAGACTGGACGGTCGACGGCGAGGACCTGCTGGCGGCCATCCGCACCGCCTACGACGGCGCCAACAGCTTCCACAACAGCAACCAGGTCACCTTCAAGCGCGTCCAGCGGTTCAGGCAGTACCTGCCGCGCCCGCCTGGCCCAGGCGCCGACCCCTAGGCCTGCTGCTGCAACGGCAGCGCCAAACAAGTAGTTGCAGCCTAGTACATCCTGAGCTCTGTAAATACCTGTACATTGAGGCCGCTGTGCGTCAGAGCCGCCACAGAGACTGCGCGGAGCGCCTTCGGTGCTGAGGGCCGCCACCCGCAGCCGCCCGTGAGGTCGCAGCAGAGGTCGACAGCTGGCCGCTTCTGCGTGCGGTACGCTGACAAAACGGATGCTGGGGCGTCATCTTGGGGTTGGGGAGCAAGCGAGATGGAAATGCCCGGCAATCATTTGCGGTCAAGACATCCATGCCCAGACCCAGCAGAATAAACTTCTGCAGGCTGTACACTGCCCCTGCATCGCTCTGTGGCCCGGCACACGGGAGCCCAGCGCCCCAAACCTCTGTTGTTACCCTCATCTCAGGGCGGCGGCCACGCTGGCGGGTTCCCTGCCCCACACAACAAACGGCCGCAACGCCGCCCACGCGTTCATTGTGCGTTCCAGGCACCATGCAGCACCTCGTGCTGCTGCAGCGGCCCCCCGGCAGCTTGGGGCCTCGGCCCGTTACCCGCTTGCGGAGCAGGCGGCCCAATGCGGGTCGCCACACGGTCCTCTGGGCCTCGTCGGGTGACAAGAGCGGCAACGGCGAGTCCCCCGTGAGCACGCGCTGCCAACCCTGCTGCCCTGCCTCCCGCTGCCGGCAGGGCCCCGCCCCGCCGCGTGCTACCCCCCTACCACACCCGCGGCTTGCCCTGGGCCCTCACATGCCCGCCGGGACAGCTGCGGCGCAGCCCATAGACACCTGGGTGGTGCCTCCTGCTGCCTATGCCGCGCCTGCCGCCCAGCAACCGCCGCCGTGCTGCCGTGGCCTGCCCCGCTCTGCCCCGCTGTGCCGCAGCCGTCGGCCCTGCCCGAGCACGCCACAGAGGTGATGTCTCCCACCATGGGCAGCGACTCGCCCACCAAGAAGGACCCCAGGAAGGCGGAGCTGGTGGCGGCCAAAAAGGCGGAGCGCACGGCCATCAAGAAGGCGGAGCAGCAGGAGAAGCGGCTGGAGCAGCTGCGCGGCAAGGTGGCGATCCTGCAGGAGCAGCTGCGGGTGCTGATGTCACAGATGCACAACACGGTGGAGGCGAGTGGCTGCCCCGCTGCCCGCCGGCCGCCCCTCGGGCAGTGCTCCCTTGCAGCGGCCGCGATCCAGGGCGCAGCATCATCCGCCTGCAGCCTGCTGGCACTCAGCGCCGCGGCCCGTGTGTGCGGCGTGCGAATCAGAGCGTGCGGCAGGGCCAGCTCAGGCATGCTTGGTCAGCCCTCCGCCAGCCTTTGTCCCCGCAGCAGCCCTGCCTGCCCTCGGCGGCGGCAATCCTTGCGGCCCTCACCCCGCCTCCTTGCCCTGCCCTGCCGCGCCCTGCCCTCCTACCGCAGGTGGCTGAGGACATGCGCAAGCAGCTGGCAGACCAGGAGGCAGCTGCCAAGAAGCTGCAGAAGGAGCTGGATGAGGCGAACGCCGACCGCGAGCAAGTGCAGCAGAAGATGGCCGCCGCGGAGAGCAGGGTGCGCAGGCGGCATGTGCTGCTGGCAGCCGGATGCCGCCGCCTGGCTGCCGATGCTCGCATCAGCAAGCGCTCTCCTGGGTTCTTGCGCTCCAACCGCCGGCTGCGGGTTCATCTTTTGGCGGCACCTAGTCCTCTTCTCTTCCTGCTCCTGCTGAGGATCGTCTTGCCTGGCCCCGGCTGGTGCAGACCGCCAAGCTGGAGGCGCAGCTGGCTGCCTCTGCCGGCGAGAGCGGCCGCCTGCAGGAGCGCTTTGCGCAGCTTGAGAGAGAGGTGAGGCGCTGGGCAGCGCGCCTCTTGTGCCTGCACCACCAGCTTTGCTTGCCTCCTTTTTCAGTTGCCGTCGCTTTTCAATGACAGTCTGCCTACCTGCCAACCACAGACCTCCCTGCCTGCACCGCCGCCGTGGCCAGCGATAGCCGCCAGCGTGCCCGCAGGCCCTCACCGCCCCTTTACGTGCCGCCCCTCCCGCTCCCTGCAGCTCTTCGCGGCGCAGCAGGCCGCGGCGGTGGCCCAGGCGCAGCTTGCTGTGGAGGGCGAGAACGACGGCCCTGTCAAGGCGCTGGGCAGGGCGCAGGCAGCCATCGACATGGTGAGCGCGGCTCGTCCCACCCTGAGCCCCGCCCCTCGCCATACAGTGGCTCCTGTGGCAGCCCTGCCTCTCCTCTGGGCTGCTTCTGGGTGTGGAAGGCCAGGGCGGGCCTTGCGGGGAGCTGGTGTGGCGCATGTGCGGCACCATGTGCTGTGCGTTGAGGACACAGCCTTGACCAGAGCGCAGAGCAGGCCAACCCTTCAACCCTCTGCTCCTCCACATACCCCGCCCCACGGCACCACACACCCACACGCGCCCGTTGGCACCCTCCTGCTTTGCCTCGCGCAGGCCGCGGCGGCTGCCCAAGACGCCAAGGTCGCTTCGGACGCGGCGGCGGGGCGGCTGGCGGCGGCCGCCGCCGACCTGGAGGCGGCTCCCGGCGATGACGATGAGGACGGGTATCTGCAGGACGCGCAGCAGGCCCAGCTGCTGGACCAGCTGCGGGGGAAGGTGGTGGTACTGCAGGAACAGCTGGTGGTCCTGTCGCAACAGATGACGCGCATGGCCCAGGCAAGCACCCCCCGCTGCGCCTCCCGCTCGCAGCCATCCCCGCAGCGCGCCTGGCTCTGGCGCGGAAGCCCCCTCGCCCGCCGCGCTCGCTGCCTGTGCATGTGCTGCCGCCGAGGCGGCCCGCACGCCCTGGCACCATCATACCGTACCGCCACCGCGCGCACCTCCCTCCCGCTGTCCCGCCAACGTATGCCCCGCCAAACGCCGCCACCGACGCCGCAGGTGGCCCAAGACATGCGGCTGCAGCTTGCGGAGCAGGAGGCAGCTGCCGCGCAGCTTCGCACCGCCAAGGAGGAGGCCGAGGCGGCTGCCGCCCAGCTGGAGGTGTCTAAGGAGGCGGCCGAGGCGGCGGTGGCGCAGATGCGCTCCCAGCTGGCATCCGCGCAGGAGCAGGCGGCCGAGGCACGGCGGCAGGCGGAGGAGGTGGAGGACTACAAGCGGCGCCTAGTCGAGGTGGGCTGGGCCTTGGCTGGGCCTGGGGGCTGCCCGCCTGCCTGCCTGGCCGCCAGCCGGGCTGCCCGGCTGTCTCCTGCGAGCTGCCAAGGGCCAAAGGGCATGCCTTGCTCCCCATCAAGGCCCCCTGCTGAGTCACCGTGCCCACATGCCCCCTCTTCACTCACCAACCAACCCTGCTGAAGCGCGTCTTCCGCTCTCCTGGCCCTTTGCTTGCTTGCCTTTGCAGGCCCAGAACGCGCTGGAGGGTGCCAACTCCAAGGCAGACTCAGCCACCAGTGAGAGAGACAAGCTCAAGCAGGAGGTGGGCGGCCCTTGCTGCCGCTGGGCCCTGCATCTGCCGCTGTTGCTGCCGCTGCTACTGCCGCTGCTGCTGCTGCATGTGTGTGTTTGTGTGTGTGTGCAATAGGTCTGTTGGTGTGGCATCCGTTTGTTGGTGTTGCTGGTGGTGATGGGTGGATCGGGAGTACACATCAAGAGCTGACGGCGGCATTGCTCCTGCTGCCCCCCCTATGGCGCAGCTGGAGGCGGTGCTGCGGTCAGCAGACACAGCGGCCGGCCAGGTGGAGGAGACGCGGCGGCGGCAGGAGGAGGCCGAGGAGGCGCTGCGGCGGCAGGAGGAGGCGGCGGCGCAGCTCCTGGGCAGGCTGGAGGCGGCTCTCGCCGACTGCAAGCAGATGCGGGGCCAGCTGGCTTCAGCTGAGGGCAAGGTGGGCCTCCCAGCCAGCCCCAGGGGCAGCCTGCCGCACCTGGCTTGCGCAGGGCAGTCGCCGCTGGCCGTTTTGCTGGCATGCGCAGGGCCGCGTGCTGCCCGACAAGGCGTGCAGGTGCGTGCAGTACAGATGCTGCCCTTGACTTACCCTGCTAGTGCTGCCCTGCTGCTGTCCCGTGGTGGTACAGATTGGAGAGATGGGATCTGAGCTGGCGATGGCGGCTGGGGATCGGGAGGTGCTTCGCCACCAGCTCCTTCAGCTGGAGGGCGAGGTGCGTGTGGTCGTGGCTGTGGCTGGTGGCGAACGGGGTGTGGGGCAGGGAGGCAGGGGCGTTGTTTGTTGCTTGTTGCGGCTGCGCCCCCGCCCTCTTCACAGGCCGCCGACCCGTGCTGTGCGGGCACGACGTGTGGCGTGCCATGCCCTCCCTGGCGTGTGGCTGCAGCCTATGCCCCCTGGCCTTCTATGAACACCATACTGTCTGACAGTTCTCTTGGCTTTGGCTGTACCCCCCTGTGCCGCGTGCAGCTGTCGTCGGCGCGCCTGTCGGCCCAGGACGAGCAGCAGCGGCTGCGCAGCCAGGCTGCCGAGCTGGCCGCGCAGCTGGAGGAGGCGCGGCGCGATGCGGCCGCCGCCCATGACCTCGCCGCCGCGGAGCGCGAGCGGGTGGCGGCGCTGGAGCAGGCCCGCTCGGCTGCTGCCCAGGTGGGGAGCTGGGGCTTGCCGTGCACCGAGCGCTATGCATCCATGTGCCTCTGAGCAAGCAATGCAATGCAAGGAGGAGGAGGGGATGCGAGGAGGCAGGAGGGCAGGACTGGAGGCAGCCGCATCTCGCCTGCTCCTTGCTTTCTGGCGGCCCCGCCCTGACCTTCCACCCGCCCCTCGCTGCCCGCGGCTTACAGGAGATGGAAGCGGTGCGGCAGCAGCTGTCGGCGCAGGAGGCGGAGGCGCGGCGCATGCAGCAGGAGGCCAGCGACTACCGGCGCCAGCTGGCGGAGGAGGAGGCAGCTGCGCAGCAGCTGCGCCACGACGGCGACGCCATGCGGCAGCAGCTGGCCGAGAAGGAGGCTGCCACGCAGCGGCTGCAGCAGGAGGCCGACGATGTCCGCACCCGGCTGGCGGACAGGGAGAGGGCGGCGGAGGAGCTGCAGAGGGACGCGGAGGCGGTACGCCGCCAGCTGGCGGACAAGGAGGCAGCCGCCGAGCAGCTGCAGCGGGACGCCGACCACGCGCGGCAGCAGCTGGCGCAGCAGGAGGGGGACGCCCGCCACGCGCGGCAGGAGCTGTCTGCGGCGCAGCAGGCGCTGGTGAGGGAGGAGGCGGAGGTGCGGCAGCTCCGTCACGAGGCCGAGGGCCTGCGGCAGCAGCTGTCGGCGCGGGACGGTGACCTGCAGCACCTGCAGCACGAGGAGGCGGCAGCTGCCGCGCAGCTGCGGCGGGAGGCCGAGGGCCTGCGGCGCCAGCTGGCGGCGGAGGAGGCGGCGGCGCAGCAGGCGCAGCGCGAGGCCGCCGCCCTGCGGCAGCAGCTGGCGCAGCAGGAGGCGGCGGCGCAGCAGGCGCAGCGGGAGGCGGGGGAAGCCAGGCAGCAGCTGGCGCGCCAGGAGGACGCCGCCGCCAGGCTGGAGCGCGAGGCGGGGGAAGCCAGGCGCGTGCTGGCAGAGCAGCAGGCCGTGGCCGTGCAGCTGCAGCGCCAGGCTGACGAGGCGCAGCGCGCGCTGCAGCACCAGGATACCGTGGCGGCGCAGCTGCGGCAGGCGCGCGATGCCCTGGAGGAAGAGGTATCCCAGATGCGCTGGCAGCTGGCAGAGGTGGGCGGCTGCCTGGCGACGGGCCGGGCTGGGCCCTGCTCGGAAGTCCACCCGCTCACTACTCGGCGCCTGCGCCTGCTGCCTGCGTGGCTGCCGCCATGCCCTCTGCCCCGCGTGCTTGCCTCTAAGTGAAGTTTGTTTCTTCTGTTTCTCAGCCCTCGTGCGCCTCTGCACCTGCTGGACAGCCGCTTCAATCTGCACCCCTGGCTCCCCACTCGCCTCACACCTTGTTGTTGCCTCGCTGCCATCCCAGGGCGCCGGCTCCGACCAGGCGCAGCGCTCCGCCCAGGGCGGCGCCTCCGAGCTGCAGTCGGGGCTGGAGCAGGCGGCGGCGCAGCGCGCGCAGCTGCAGCAGCAGCTAGGGGAGGCGGAGGACAAGGTGGGGATAGGCCGGCTGTGTGGCCCAAAAATGGTTGAATACGAAATTAACTGAAGTAACGTTTTGGGGCCGGATGCATGTTGCGTGCACTTGTTGAGCGTGCGTGTTGAATGGGTGTGGCGGGCTTCTCTGTTTGGACGGCGTGGCTCAGCAGGGTAGTGCGGCGCTGATGCCATATTGCATGCTGTGCTGCGCCGAGCTGTGCAGGCGTCCACGGTGGAAGCTGAGCTGGCGGTGGTGATGGGGGAGCGGGACCGCCTGCAGGACCGTGTGACCCAGCTGGAGGAGGAGGTGGGAAGCTGCCGCCCGGCTGCCCGCCGCCTCGCCGCGCAGGCGGCCCCTCCTGTCCTGCTCCCTTCTTTCCGTTTCCTTTCCCCCTCGGCTGCGGCTCTTTCAAGCCCAAAGCCCCGTGGCTCCTTCCCTGCACCACACACACACACACACATGCATCGCTGCCGTCCCCTTGCCTGCCCCGCAGATGGAAGCCGTGCGGCGCTCGGCGGTGGAGGAGCAGCAGCAGGAGAAGGCAGAGCTGCAGCACCGGGTGGCGGCGCTGACGGATGAGCTGGAGGAGGCGCAGCAGCTGAGCGCCGCCGCAGCCAAGGCGCTGATGGCGGCGCAGCAGGAGCGGGCGGCGGCGCTGGAGCAGGCGGAGCGGGTGCGTCGGCTGCGCTGGCCGTGGTTGGCTGGCTGGCTGGCAGTGGCTGGCCGCCCTCCCCACACTGCGCCTCGCTCTACCACGCCCTACCCTCGCCCCACCCCCCCCGCCCTCACCCTGCCACGCCCCCCTGCTGCTGGGGCGCCCCTGCTGCCCGCTGCCTGGTGCAGGAGGTGGCTGAGATGCAGGAGCAGCTGCGGATGCGGGACCAGGAGGCCCGCTTCTCCCTGGCGGCCATGGCGGCCAGCGAGAAGCAGGTGGGGATGGAACCGCCGGTACCGCCGGTACCGCGACCGGCCCCGCAATTGTGGGCAGCGGCGGGGTGTGTGGTGTGGGGCCTGTGTGCTGGCGTGCACGCACGGCGGCGCGGGCTGCTTCGGGGCTGGGCTGGTGCATTGTCCGATGCCGCAGCGCGTGTGCCATTGTCACACATGTGGCGTATGTCGCTGCTGCGGCGCCTCGCACGCGCGCCGCATCCCGCGCCGCCTCTCGGCTTGCTGTTCGCCCTCTCTTCCTTCAACTGCCCGCCACCCGGCCGCTCACCCACCCACCCTTGCGTCCGCCCCCACCCCGCCGCCTGCAGCTGGGCACGGTGCGCACGTCGTGGCAGCAGGAGGTGCAGCGGCTGTCGGGGCACGCCAACGAGCTGGCCGACCAGCTGGAGCAGGCCTGGAAGGACGCTGCCGCCGCCAAGGCCGCGCTGGCAGAGGCGGGGTTGGGGCAGCAGCGGGTGGCAGACCTGGAGGCTCAGGTGCAGCGGCTTGAGCAGGAGGTAGGCTATGGTTGGGCCCAGTGTGGCTGCAGAGGGCGTGTAGAGGTCGGCAGTACTGCGGTACAGTACTGCGGTACCGCCGAGGGCGCACGGCTCGCGGCCACGCGGGGCAGCACCTGCGTCGCGGTAGGCGGTACGGCGGTGCAGCGGCCTCGCCGGCGGCCCGCTCTTCGTTCGATTTGCTCTGCCTGTTCGGCACTCCCTTGCCACCTCCTCTACCCACCACAGCCTGCTCGCCACCCCCAAACCCACCCCCACGCCCACGCCCCCCGGCCTCCCCTGCCACCTCCTGCCTCCCCCCGCAGCTCTCCTCCCTGCGCTCAGGCACGCAGCAGGAGCAGCAAGGCCTGGCCGAGCGCGCCTCCCAGCTGGCAGGCCAGCTTGAGGCGGCCAAGCGGGAGGCGGCTGCCGCCCGCGGCGACGTCGAGTTTGCGGAGGACCGCGCCGCGCTCCTGGAGCGCTCGTGGGCGGAGGCGCAGCGGGTGGGTGGGTGGGGCGCGCGTGGCGCCGGCGCCGGCACCGCCCGCTGCCCTGCGGCGCGGGCTGGCAGCCTACTCTGCGGGCGCTGTGCAAAGGCGCGGGTTGCGGAGGGCGCGCAGGCCTCCTTTTTGACCCCCGCCCCTCCCGATGGGCCCACGCCCTTCCCTCCTCACCCTCTCCGCCTCACAACCCTCCTCACTCCTCCTGGCTCACCCCTGGCTCTCCCCTTCTCTCCCCCTCACTCTTTCCTGCCTCCTTGCTCGCCTGCCCCTCCTCACTACCCCCCTGCTCCCCCCACCCCCACCCCACACACACATACACAGGAGGCCGAGTCCCTGCTCAGCCAGAAGCACAGCGTGCAGGCGCAGCTGGAGGAGGCGCAGCGCCAGGCGGCGTCGCTGGCGGGGCAGCTGGAGGAGGCACGGCGCGAGGCGGCCGCCGCCACCACGCTGTCCGCCGAGCTGACGGCGGCGCGCAAGGAGATGGCGGCGGCCTCGGCCCTGGTTGCGGTGGAGCGGGAGCGCAGCGCCGCGCTGGAGCGGGCGCGCGCCGAGGCGCAGCAGGTGCGTGTGGGTGTGGGTGGGCGGGAGGGGGGTGTTAGGTGCAGCAGGTGTGTGTGTGTGTGTGTGTGCAGGAGAGGGGTTTGCGTCCAGCTCGGGCCAGGTGGAAAGCCTGCCCGTAGGCGGCACGGTTGTGTGGCGCCAAGGCCAGCTTGGGTGTGCCATGGCCGGCTCAGCGCAGCCGTCTCTGGCTTTGCAAGCAAACCTTCAAAGGGCCCTGCGCCGGGTCGCACCCTTGCAGCCAGCCAGCTCACGCACGCACGCCGCTTTGCCGCCAGCTCCCGCTCCCCCCGCCTCGCCCCGACGCCCTGCCCCACTCGGTGTTTCCCCTCCCGCCTCCCTTGGCGTCTATCGGTGCAGGGCCTGCGGGACCTGCTGCGGCAGAAGGAGAGCCTGCAGGCGGCCGTGGACCAGGCCCAGAGCGATGGCGCTGACCTGGCGGCGGGGCAGGGCGCCGAGGCGGCGGCTGAGGTGGCGGCCGCGCGGCGCGAGATGGCGGCGGCCTCGGCCCTGCTGGCGATCGAGCGGGAGCGGCGGGCGGAGGTGGAGAAGGCGCGGGCCGCGGCGCAGCAGGTGCGGCGCGGGCTCCGGGCTTGCTGTCACACTCGGTGTTGGTGGCGGTGGCGATGGCGGTGGTGGAGGTGGTGGTGGTGGTGGTGGCGGTGGCGGCGGTGGTGGTGGTACCACAGTGTGGTGCCACAGTGCGGTGCTGGTTGTGCCACGGTGCACCCTGCAAAACGTCCTGGGGCGGGGGAGCAGGCATGCGGCCCTGCTTGATGTGCAAGCCCGCTGGCCTTGTCAGCTGCCTCAGCCTGGCTGCCTGGTCGGCTCCCCAGGCGCGTTGGCGCCCCCGAGCTCCCTCCCCCCTGACCTGCCACTGCCACGCATCGCTCCCGCCCGCTGCGCCCCGCTTGCGCCGCAGGAGGCGGCGGCGGCCCTGGAGGCCAAGCGACAGGCAGAGGCGGCGCTGGAGCGGGCGCTGGGTGATGCCGCGGCCCGGGCTGCCGAGGTGGCGGAGGTGCAGCGGGAGGTGCTGGCGCTGCGGGAGGAGGCGGTGGGCGAGGCGGCGGCGCTGGATGCGCAGCTGGAGCAAGTGCGGCAGGAGGTGGCGGCGGCGGCGGCCATGGCGGCTGACGTGGACGCCGCGCGCCGCGAGATGGCGGCGGCCTCTGCCCTGGTCGCCATCGAGCGGGAGCGCAGCGCCGCGGCGCGGGCAGAGTCGCAGCAGGCAAGCGAGGGGGACGGGGGCTGCGGGTCTGGCAGGCGGGGGCCGGCCGGGCCTGGGAGCGGGCGGGCGCGGCGGATGCCCGCCAAGCGGCGCTGCTGCTGCGCATGTGTGCGCTGGCGGAGGCCAGGCTGCATGCGGCGCGCCGGTGCCTGCGTGCCGGCTGAATCCAAGCATGCTCTCGACATGCTCGCTGTGCTGTGCTGTGCTGTGCACGCTGCGCCCCATGATCTGTGTGCCACGCTGCGCCCGCTGTGCAGGAGCTGCTGGCCGTGCGCGGCGAGAAGGATGGCCTGCTGTCGGCGCTGCAGGCGGCCCAGCGCGAGTCTGCGGAGCTTGCAGCGCAGCTGGAGGATGCGCGGGGCGAGGTGGCGGCGGCACGGGCGCTCATGCCTGCCGACCTCGCGGCGCAGCTGGAGGAGGCGCGGCAGGCGGCGGCGCAGGAGCGGCGGCGCAGCGCGGTGCTGGAGCAGGCGTGGAGCGCGGCGCAGGAGGTGGGGGCTGGGGCTGGGACACCTGGGGCACGCTGCCGCAGCAGCAGGGTCGTGCCGGAGGCAGCCTGTGTTGTGTGTTGTGCGTTGCTGCGCCAGTTCTATGCTCCCTCGGATGTATAGCGTATCAAGAAGCCAGCCCGCCCATTCCCGTCCATTCCCGTCCATTCCCGTCACCCTCCTGCTCCCTCCCTCTCCCCACCTGGGACCCGCCGCCCGCAGGCCGCCGACGAGAGCCTGCGCCTGCTGCAGCTGCACAACGCAGACATGGAGACGCTTCAGAACCAGCTGTTTGATGCCATGGTGAGGTGGCTCCCTAAGAACAAGTTCTTGGGCCTGGGGCGGGGTGGGGCTGCTGCGGGCCCGGCTCTGGCCCGCCAGGCTGGGCCTCCCGGCCGCGCCCCATGGTCGTGCATGTGCCTGCCTGCTGGCTGCTTGCCTTCGGTCTTTGTGTTGCTTGCCTGTTGTTGCTGACAGGTGCTCCGCCGTCTTACCGCCCTTGTGCTTCAATTGAGCTGCAGGGTGCCAAGCAGAACGGCAACGCCAACAACAAGGGCGGCGGCTGAGGCGGCGGCCGCGCCGCTCGCGAGCCCAGGCTGCCGATTGTGTTGGGTGGCGGCTGGAGGGGGGGAGGACGACGATGGCCTGGGAATTTCATTGTTTTTGTTGGCTCTCAGCGAAAGCTGTGTGGTCTCCCAAACACCTGCTCGGGGGTCCACCCGCCAGCTTGCGCCGCCATGCGCACCGCTGCCTGCTTCCTTTCATCATATCTGCACAGCCTCTGGAATTTCTGCTGCTGCCGTTTTTGTGCTTGGCCCGCCGCGCCTTCCCTTGCCTTCTAACTTAACGAATGCCTGTACGCCTATCTACTAAGTGCTTACTAGTCGCCTGACCTGCCCTCGTCTGTTTTGCTTGTCTTCCTTCTGCCAGGCAGCGGTGCCCCGTGTTCAGGGGCCCTCCCTGCCTCCACCTATTCCCCTCTCCTCAGTTGCATTCCCGCGCCTTGGCACTGCAGCCCTGCCGCTGCACCGCTCAAGCCCCCTGCCATACGACAGACCCCATCCTGCCAGTGTGTAACACGAGAAAACGACAGCCATCGACAGGTGGAGTGCAGGGCAAGCTTTACAGTGAAGGAGGCTGAAGCTAGCCCTGGGTAATGTGCCAGGCAGCCTTGCGGCTGTGCAGGCGTCTACAGAAGGTGGGGAGGGATTGAGAGGGATACGAATTTGTCCAAAGGCATGGAGAGCAACAGGGGAAAAGGTGGAAGGCGCCAGCCTGGGTACATGAGGGCCGGGAGAGAAGGAATGGGTGGTGCGCGTGGTAAGGGAAGGTGCATTCTGAAGGGGGTACTGTGCTGGGCTGACTGCGCTGGCAGGCAGTGAACTGGCCAGCCAGCCCAGCAGGCGGGTCTGGAGGCGAACCGGCAGCTCTACTGCTTGCCGCTCCGCCGCATGAACTTGAGCCTGGACAGCGCACCGCCTGCCCTCTTCAAGGCAGAGCCGCCGCCGCCGCCATCCGCCGCCTGCTGCTCCTCGGGCTCTGCTGCGCCAGCCTCCACCTCGGAGCTCATCTCTGCCTGCTCCGGCGGCAGCAGCGCCGCGGCGGCGGGGGTCAGCCCCGGCGGCGCGGTGCCAAAGGTGCCGCTGCGCCTGCGTGCCGAGCCGGGCGCGCTGCTGGAAGTCCCCGCGGAGGGCAGCAGGGGCGCCATGCCTGCCGCGGCAGCCGCGCCCGGCGGCAGGGTGGCCGCCCAGGTGCCCAGCTGCGGCCCAGCGCCTGCGCCAGCTGCAGCCGTGCCTCGTGCAGAGGGCATGGAGCGGGCGCTGAGCGGCATGGCTGGCGCCGAGGGGGAGCTGTCAGGCAGCAGCTCGGAGCTCTCCAGCCCGCCGCTGGTGCTGCGCGGGGTGGCGCCGCCCTGGCCGCCGAAGGCGTAGGGAGCGGGCGCCGCGGAGATGCGGAAGGTGTCGGCGCCGCTGCCGGGCCGCGGCCAGGTGCCCACGGTCGCCATCTTCTGGTGCAGGCTGAGGGTGAAGCTGCCTGGCGAGGGGTGGGGCGGCAGCCCCAGCGACGTCTCCCCAGCTTCCTCCTTCTTGTCGGGCAGCTCCGGTACCGCGGCTTCCTCCTCCGCCTGGTACTGCCGGTAGTCGCTGCGGCGGTACACGTGGCAGCAGCCCCGCGGCTCCAGCCGGTCCATCCTGCCCACCCACACAAACACCGCCAGCGACAGCGGCAGGCCGCAGGCGCCGATGACCAGCAGGCCCAGCCACAGGCCGCCCACAAAGTTCAGCACCTCACAGCAGGCGTACGTCTTGGCTGCCAGCCAGGCGGCGTTGAAGCGCTGGTAGGAAAGCGCGGCCTCCAGGGAGCTGCAAGAAAGCAAGGAGGCACGAGGAGGCGCGCAGGGGGACGGCAGACGGTGAGGAGGTGAAGCAGGTGGTGAGGAGGAGGCCAAGAAGGAAGCCAAGCACAGCCCCCGGCAGGCCCCCGCTGGAGGCCTGCGGCGCCAGGCCTGAGCAGGCAGCAGTGCACCGCTGGCGCACTGGTCGGCGGCTGGCTGCCGGGCGGCACCGGCGTCTCGTCCCAGGCGTGAGCCAGCAGGCAGCGGGGCGCGGCGGCGGCGGCGCTTGCCTGACGTTGCCGGCCAGCGCGTCGATGGCGGCGGCCAGGGCGGCCAGGTTGTGTGGCAGGGTGCTGACTGAGGAGTCCACGCCCTCCAGCAGGAAGGCGGCCTGCAGGGGGGGAGGTCAGTGGGGGGGTCTCAACACCCTCTCGGGTACGGAGCCCTGGGCCAGTGGAGAGGTGGTTGCTGTGCCTCTCCACCTCATGTAGTGTGAACCACTCATCCCCGTCCAGGGCTGCCAAAGAATGAAAAGAAAACAATGAGAGTTCGAAACCGCCCCATGAAACATGCCGCCAGCAGCCCCTGGCAGCCCCCACCTGCTGCAGGTCGTCCACGGTACGGTTGGCGCTGCCCAGAAGCTGCGGCACATCGATGCCCGTCAGGTCGTACAGCACAGCCGCCGGGTCCTTGCCCACACCGTAAAAGTAGTACCTGCAGTGCCAGGTACCGTGCAAAGCCCAGCAGTACCATCAACACAAGAGGAGGCAGGACCGCAAGTTGCATTCATGCATCGGCCATCCAACAGCAGGGGAGCGCAGTGCGACGGTGCCGCCGCTGCGCCAAGAAGAAGAGAAGGCAGCTCCAAGCGCGCAGGCCCGCTCACCTCCCCAGGGCCAGGGTGTCGCCCACCCCCACGGTCGACAGCACGCCCTCGCCGCGGGCCGCTTGCCGCTCAGCAGCCCTCACCAGGGCATCGATGACCTTGCTCTCCACCACGGTGCACCTGGAGGGTGTAGTGCCATGGAGGGCAGTAAGGGTGAGGTACATGGGGCGGTACGAGCAGCGGAACGGTCCGGTGCAGGTGTGCGTGTCATGGTAAAGCCTTGGCCTGGTGGCTGCCATGCAGAAAGCAGCGGCACGGCCAGAGCGCTAGACCAGACGCCGCCGGTCAGCGCACCAGCCATGGCACCAGTGCCAGCATGCCAGCAGGTGTGCGCCTCACCCGTCGCTCCCGATCTTCAGCCCCGCGGTGGAGGCAGCCACCGATGCCCAGGTGAGCAGGATCAGCAGCAGCAGCGCCGCCGTGCAGCCCTTGACCAGGCCTGGGCAGCTCAGCAGCACCCCCAGGGCCACGGCCGCAGAGAAGGCGATGACGAGAGTGTAGCAGGCGTAGAGGGCGGCATTTTTGCTGCAGCACGTGGCGCAGGCAAGGGAAGCAGGGAGTGAAGAAGAGCGGGCCGGTGGCGGCAATGCGAGGAGGCACGGCAGGGAGGCGGCGCCGCCTGGCGTGCAGGCCAGCACTCAGCCAGCGGGGCGACACGTGACAGGCAAGCGGCAGCCCAGCAGCCAGGGCCGCCCAGCCTGCAGCAGCGTCCGCCCCCCCCGCCGCCCACTTACACGACGTCCAGCCTGTCGGCCAGCGGCTGCCACTCCTGCTGCCAGCCCTCCAGCCGGTCCAGCACCGCGGCCTGGATGTCAGAGGTGGCGGTCTGCAGGCCAGAGGCAACCCCCACCATGCTTTGGTGGAAGTCTTCGATGGCCTGCAAGCACAACGGGAGGAGAGGCGGAGGAGCCAGCAGAGCCAGATGGGTGCGCCCAGCGGGACGGAAGTGCAGCAGGCACGTTGCCCGGCGAGGGGCCGGCCCCCGACCGCCAAGGCCGCACGCGTATGCGCCGCAGCGCGGCGCCGGTGTGTGTGAGGTGCATGCACCTCTGGAGAAGGCCAGCAGGCTGGGCAGGCCCACCTGGAGCACCCCCGGCTGCAGCTGGTCCAGGCTCAGGTCCAGCGCCCGCTGCCGGATGGCCGCCAGCTGGCGCTCCACCTCATCCGCGGCGGCCAGGGTGAGGTTGGCTGTGGACAGGCCGGCGGCCACATACTCCTGCGGCGGGCGGCAGGGCAGGGGCAGCAGGAAGAAGCGCGGGCAGGTTTCGTGCAGGCAGTGTGGGTGCCGCAGCTGGGCAGCAGCAGGCACAGCCATCAGCCTGGGGCTTCCAGCCTTCGAAATAGTGAATGCAGGATGCCCGCCGGCGGGGTAGGCGCAGCCCCGCGGCAACCCAAGCCCTCCCAGACAGCTTCTGGCTCTGCTGGGTGCCTGGAGGCCAGCCCCACCTTGGTCTGCTCGTACACCGCGACCCCGGCGGGCTCGATGGATGGCTGGATGGTGCTGAAGCCATACCCCGCGCCTCCCACCATGCCCAGCGCCAGCAGCGGCACGGCCGCGCGCAGCCACCGCATGCCGCGCGCCGACAGCAGCTGCATGGCGGGCTTGCCGCGCAGGCGCGGGCTGCGGATGCAGCGCACGCAGGTGGCCAGCCTGGCCAGGCGCCAGAGCAAAAATGCGAGGAGGAGCGCGGCCGCCAGGCAGCAGAAGATAAACGGCGGGAGGACGTGCTTCAGGGTCCAGTCTTGATAATAGTCTGTCGAGCTGGGGTCGTATTCATCAGCTGGCGTTCGCTGCTTGGCCAGCGGCAGGCTGGACCAGAGCGGCGACTGGCAGGAGAGAGGAGTTGTCTCCACTGCTGCAGCCGCCGCCATCGGAGCCGCCGCCAGCAGCGCCGCCAACACCAGCAGCGGCAGCTGGGCGGCCTGCAGGTGCATCGAGGCACGCGCTGCAATCTCGAGTGGCGGCAGCATGGCAGAGCAGGGAAAGAGAAGGGGCGGGAAGCGGCGATGCAAACCTCCGCCCAACAAACTCGCACCTGCGCAACGCCGCCAACTGCGTTCATTTTCATGTCTGGCACGATTGCAGGGCGCTGCCGCCAATGCGCGTGCAGGTTGCGGAGTGGGCAAGCACGCGGCCTCCACGCTTCGCAACAACGACCACCCTCAAACCAGCCGTAACCCCCTCCACTGCCGCATAATTCACAGTTTTTCGCGCAGCTGCTGGCCGCTGTCGCCACCTGCTGGGTCCCGTCTCGCGCCGCCAGCTGTCCGCCCCCCCGCCGCCGCCTGAAATTGTTCTGCTGCAGTGCGATGGCATTCTCACAGAAATCCACCAGCCTGTGTGCTCAGTGCGCCTGCCACAACCAGAATGCTTACAGGCTGTGCAACGCGGCTGGCGTGCACGTGGTGCACACATGGGCTGGCCCATGGGTCGCCCTTCGCCTCCGTTGCTTGCTCAGCTTGCGTGTGCTGCCAGGGTCCCGGCCAGTCAGACTGCAGGCACCAAACACAAGCCGTTCGTCCCCGTCTGGCAGCGCTGCAAGTTGTCCTGCACACCAGGGGTGTGAGCATGGGTGGAGTGTGAGCATGGGCGGCCCCTGTTGAGCTATAATGCCCAGCACAAGCAATGGGCCGTTGCCCACTGTACAGTGGGAGAGGCACCAGCAAGGAGCGAGTCCCGCCAGCTTCCCTCCAGGACACAGCCCCACACAACCTCCGTGGATGCGCCGCGGCAGGCAGCATCCCGCAGCATAGCATGCTCGACGGCGCCAACGCGCGGGCCGGCCCTGCCGCGGCGCACCCACCTCCCACGCTTGCTCCCAGCTGTCCATCCACCGCTCCGCTGCCGTATAGCCGCGCCCCTTGAGGATCGCCAGCACGCTACAGCCAGAGGGGGCATGGGGGGCAGGGGATGGAAGCACCGTGGAAGCTACAGGATCTGGAAGCGGGGCCCAGGAGGCCCACGGTACTGGCCTGGCCGAGCGACCTCCTGAGCCTCCCGCCTCGGGCCTGCCGTGCACACACCAGCCCCAGCCCTGCCAGACAACCGGCCCTGCCATGCAAATATGCCAAAGAACTGCCCTGCCCCTGCCATGCCAAACGCATGCCCAGGCAGCTCACTCCTCAGCATCCTGCCGCGCCAGCTCCGCCAGGCGGCGGTACTCGCGCCGTGTCATGGGCCACCCCTCCGACTGCGGGCAGGCAGGCCAGGCCGGACCCGCAGCCAGGCCTCAGCATGGTCGGTCGGCCAGCCGCTGGGCAGCACCTCCCTTCACTGACACCACACACCCTGCCTAGCTGGCCAGCCAAGGCTGCCTCGCTCCTGCCACCGCCGCTGCCGCTGCCCTCGCCGGTGCCGCTGCAGCAGGCTCGCCGACGCACGGGCGCGGCGGCAGCACTCAGGTTGTGGCTGCCGGCGTGCGCCGCCCGCTTACGTAGTTTTCCCTTCGGGAGTTGCGCACGCCCAGGTCGCCGGTAGGGAGCTTGGCATCTATGCCCAGGAAGCGCTTCAGGTCGCGCAGCGCCCCCTTCATGCCGTCCCCCGTCAGGGTCTCGTACTGCGGGCGGGACAGCGGAACGAGAGGGCCAGTACAGGTGCAGCGCAGGTTGCGGCCGGTGTGGCAGGTGGCAGGGAGGGAGCGAGAGAGCTGTGCGAGTGTGTGTGTGTGGGTGGGTGGGTGGATGGGTGGCTGTGTGGGGTGGGCTGTGGATGGGCGGGAGCTGGCCGCAGTGACAGGGTGTGGGCAGGCTGCCTGATGCGGCAGCCCCGGGGCACCTGCAAGCTGCCCCCGGCAGGGCAACATGCAGGCCGGTGGGTTGCACCAACCTGCATGATGTGCAGCTGCTCTGCAGGGAAATTATCTGCCCAAGCCGCGAGGCGAGGCGCATACCGAAGGCCGCTATCCTCTGCAGGGCGGCAGCGGCAGCAAGGAGTGCAAGAGAGCGCCCAATCAGCGGCAACTTGAGGGCAGGGCGAGGGAGCCGAGCGCCGTGGCTGGTGGGGCTGGCTGGGTGAAATTGCAGCGGTACCATGGCAGCGGCGGTGCCCACCAAGCTTCTCCTCGATGCACTTAAAAATCCACCGCCGCTTTTTGTCGTAGCACTTGGGGCTGCACGCAGGCCAGCAGCGCACATGCAGGGATGCTTGTCGTCAGGTGGCGCACCACGGTACTGGCCGGACGCGGCTGCCAGCGTTGCGGAAGGAACGCGCGGAGCTGCTGCTCAGAGCAGGCGCCAGTCAGCGCCTGCGCTGGGCAGGACCCAGAAGTCACCCCCTGCGGCCCACCTTCTGTTGTGGTCCAAGTTGTGCTGCAGCATGGAGATGGCTCGTGAGATGGGCTCCCTCATGCTGATGACTGCGGGGCAGGTTGGGGGGAAGGAGGGGCGCAGAGCCCCCAACAAAGAGTCTGTCGGTGGCAGTAAACCGTGGTGTGCTGGGTCAAAAGGCATGCAGCCGAGCAGGAAGGAGAGCAGGGCGGCAGAGAGAAGCCGAGCAGGGACAGGGGCAGGCTGGCAGCCACGACATCTGCTGGCAGCCAGAGCGTCAGCGCAGCAGCGCCTCACCCAGCTTGACCCACGGCATCAGCTCCCGTAGCTGCGGCGCCAGCCACTCCCCCGCCTGCGCAGCAGCGGGCAGGCCACGCATCAGCGGCCCTGCTGGCCAGCGCACGGCGCGGGCCAACCCGCAGGCAGGGTGCCACCACACGCGGTCAGCCAGGCCAACATTAACCCTTTGACTACGAGACCAAACCCTCTCGCAGTCAGAACGTGTTAACACCCGTCCGTCTCTGTTAGCAGACACGATGGAGCTGCCAGGGGAGGTGCCATCCAGCCAGCGCCGCGCTGCGGCTGGCACCCACCAGCCCAGCCAGGCGGCGCCGCGCTGCCGCTGACACCCACCAGCGAGTAGTGGGTGCTGCCTTCAAAGACAGCCATGAACAGGCGGGCATCCAGCGCGATGCCGAGGTGCAGGGTCTGGGAGGGGTGGCCGGGCGGGCGGGGCAGGGCAGGAGGCGGGCAGGCAGGCGAGGAGGAGCGCGCGGTCAGCGCACGTCGCCGGGGAGCACCCTCGACGCCAGCCGGCGGCGAGCAGGCCGGCCGTGCTCTAGGGCGCAGCAGAGCCAGCGGGGCCACAGCCACAGCCAAGGCAATGACGCCAGGGGAACCCACGGTACCATACCGCAGCGGGCACGTGGCCCAGGGCAGGCGCCAGGGCAGGAACAAGGGGGGAAGGCAGGCTGAGCAGCCAGCCCACCTCATTGATGTACTTCTCCTGCTCGTGTGCGGAGCAGCGCACGGCGTCGTCGTCGCAGCGGCTGGTATAGAAATTGGGCTCCTGCGCGGCACAGTATAGGAGGAGGAGGCGGAGGCAAAAGCAGGGTCAAGGACAAAAGCAGGGCTCTGGTGCACCGGCACAGGTGTGGCGCGGCACGCGGTGGAGCAACGGGAGGGGGCTGCGGCGGCCCGTTGCGTGCCTTGATGCGGGGTGCCATGACTTGCGGGTGCTGGATCAGGTGGCTGCAGGGAAGCCAAGCATGCTGTGCACGTGAGTGCCCAAGTGATCCAGGGTCTGGCCCTAAGATGCCAGGCACACACCGGGCAAGCAGTGCGCACACCGGGCTGGCAGCCGCGTGCGTGCCCAGGCCACCGGCCGGCGGCCGGCGGCAGCGGCATGCGCAGGCGGGCGGGCACGGCGCCAGGCAGGTGGTGGCACACTCACTGGAACAGGCTGGTGGTGGCACACTTGGGGAAACCCAGGATGTAGAAATGGGGAAAGTTAAATTGGTGTTTATGCTTCCGCTGCACATGATCAACAGAGGGTGCACATCATCGACAGAGGCTCAGCGCGGTGCACGGCGCGCGACCGAGTCGGGCTGGCGGCAGCCCCCGCGTGCCGGCAGGCAGGCGCCCCACCTGCTTGTGCGCCGTCGTGATGCAAGCCAGGCTGTCGCAGCCCTTGAGCGCCCGCTCCAGCTCGCTGGGCGTGTAGCCGTCGCTGCCGGCGCCCGCCACCAAGGCCTCTGCCGCATCGTCCGTGCCTGCCACAGCCTGCGCATCCCGGCGGTCCAGCTGCTGGCGCTGCTGCTGCTCCGCCGCTGCCGCCGCCGCCGCCGCCGCTGCACCCTCCTGGTCGTCGGTTTCGTACCCTCCCCCATCCTCTGCTGCCTGTGTGCTTGCTTCTGTGTCGTCTGCTGCTCCGCTCGCCAGCTCCTCCTGTGCGCTGCTGCCGCCGCTCCCGGAGCCTGTTGTCGCCATGCTGGCTTCGGCATCTGGCTTCTGCAGGTTGAGGCGCCGCGAGGCCGCAGACCGCTGTCGCGCGGCGTCTGCCATGCTGCAGCACGGCGGCAGGGAGAGGCAGCGGGTCGTGGTGTTGGCTTGCCGCCAAGCAACCGAACCGGCGGCTCGCAAACGACGAATGTGGCAGCCAAAGCGGGTGCCCCCAAAGCATGCAAAGCTCCCACCTGCTGCCTGGATGGCGCATCCAGGCCCAGACAATCAGCACGGCCACCAGGAGGGGCAGGGACTGGCGCAGCGTGCGAGCCCTGCACCAGCAGCGGCAGTGGCGGCGGGTGGGCGGCAACAGCGGGTGGGGTCGCTCTCTGCAGGCTGCAAGCGCCGTCACCGGCTGTTTCTCGTTATTTAAATGAGCTGCAAGCGGGCAGCGGGGCTCACCAGCCCCTGGCACTCCGCGTTCTGGGCGTCTGGCGGGGGCTCCTCAGGCCCGGGCGGGGCGGAGTCACCATCCTGCTTTACGTGGGCTCGCCCTCCCAGGGATCGCTTGGCAGCGCCAACAGTCCCCCCGGTGCACCACTGTTGGGTGCTGCTGGGGCCCCACAGCAGGGGCCCCAGCCCCCGCATTGCGGCTTCCAGTATCATTTTATAATCGCCAAAATCTCTGACAGGCAGCAAGAAGGCAGCAAGAAGCTTGCCGGCGTGGGCGCCTGCCATGGCGCTGAACTGCCGCTGCTGTTCAGACCGCTTTGCAGCTGCAGCAGCCAATGTGGGATCGCTTGGGTTCACTTCTGAGGGTTGCCTGCGGCCAAGAACACCGGCATGCTGCTGGCACACTGCCTGCGGCGGTGTGTGCCAGCAGGCTGTGTCAGCTGCTGCTGCCTGGCGGCAAGCTGCACGCTGCGTGACGCATTGTGAGTGGGTGGGGTAGCCGCAACAAACCTCCAGGATGTAGCAGCGCGATTGCTTCTGTCTCCACGAGCCTGGTATGTTTTGGTGCCAGGTCTGCCATGTCCGCCCGCCTCCCCGCCACTGGCTCCTACTAGTAGTACTTCTAGCTCCTTCAAGCGCAGTCCCGAGGCCACTTACAGGCAGACACTTGTACAGACGGACTGCTAGCAACACAGCGAACAGGCTGCACCAATGCTGCTCAAACTAGGAATCGGGACTGGAAAGCGCGACATGTTGTGCATCAGGAGCATCGTCCCAACTCCCGCCACGAGCGAACTCCCACACCATCAGCCGCTCACGTGACTTGCACCATGCACAGGCCCTCGGGGCCAGGTTCGCAGTGCTGCTCCAGGTTCAACTGCAACGGGCAGAAAGGCAGGCGAAGGAAGAGCGCACTGGGGAACAGAAACGCAGCCTTTGTGCCACAGCAACACTAGGCCCAGAGCATACACCAGAGGCGCTGACAGTCCTCTACCACCCACCAGTAACCCCCATCGATGCACCCACCCACCTTCCAGGCGGCCTCCCAGTTGGCACGCCAGGCATCCGCATCAGCAAAGCCATTCTGGCGCACCAGATCCACCACCCTGCAAATGCAGGCGGGCCCGGGACGCGCCTCAGGTGGGCTGCTGCAGCCTGCAACGAGTGCCACACCTGCAGGGTTGGCTTGGCCATGCTGCTTTCCGACGACCCCTGGCTATCAGCGCAACCAGCCGAGGCAGGAGAGGCAGGGCACGACTGGCTCACTCCTCGGTGTTCCTCCGCGCCTTCTCTACCAGCGCCTCGTACTGCTGCCGCTGCATGGGCCAGCCGTTGCCCTGCAGCCAGCCGCGGGCAGCACAAGCACAAACCAGCCTCAAGCTCTCCTCCGGGGCGCTGGCGCTGACTGCACGCGAGCGTAAGCCCGAGTCCATCCAGCGGCTGTGCCACAGCCGCATGGCCGCAAAGGCGCCAGCCAAGCGGCCAGCGCACCCTTTCACAGGACCCTCCCCACCCCCACCTCCCGGCCACCCCCTGGACACTCACGGTACCCACGTTCTTGCGCTGGTGCCGGAAGTTCTTCATGCCCAGCTCGTCCGAGGGCAGCGTGGGCTCAACCTCCAGGAAGCGCTTGATGTCCCGCAGTGCCCCCTTCATGTTGTGGGCCGAGGTGAGGTTCTCGTACTGCGGGCGAGACAAGCGGGACAGAAAGGCAGTACATGTGTTGCGGTACCAGGGGCAGGCACATGCGTGGCATCCTCGCGATAAGACGGCAGAACGGCGCCCGGCAGGCTGCCATGCTGCTTCCTTTCGTGAACGCAAAGACTGCCGGCGCAGCCTGCACCTGCAGGAGGTGCAGCTGCTGCCGCGGCACGTGCTTCAGCCAGGGGTTGAGGGACCGGGTGTAGCGGCTCTCGAAATCTGGGGCAGCAGGAAAGCAAGCACAGCTCAGGCAAACCAAAAAAGTGGGCTTTGTCTTACCGAGCACCCCAGCCAGCCATACACCAATGCAATGCAACAAAACAGCCACATTGCAAGGTAGCGGACCGCAAGCAAGGGGCGGCAGCACAGGCCCTCACCCAGGTCGATGTGGATGCACTCAAACACCAGGTTGTGGTCGCGATCGTAGCAGTCAGGGCTGCACAGCGCAGGGGAGGCGGCCACACCGGCAGGCCCTCACGTGAGCTGGGATGCATGATGTGCGATGCACAGGCGGCGCCGCTGCTGCTGCGAGCGGGTTGCTGGGCACGGCTGGGCGGCGCCGACCGCAGCGCCCGAGCGTGCATCATGTGAAGGTGTGGACCCGCACGCCGGCAGCCCAGCCCGGCACCCTACACGGCACCCAGCCTCCCCTCCGCCTCCCCCACTCCTGCCCCCTTCCACCCGCTGCCCCACTCACTATCGCTTGTGGTCCAGCTGGTGGTTGAGCATAGCGATTGCTTGGGAGATGGGCTCCCGCATGGTCATCACTGTGGGGCACACAGGCACCAGTTGGAAGGGCAGGAAGGGGGCAGCCCAACACACGGGACACTCGGCAGGCGGCACACGGCGAGAAGCGTCGCATGCACGATTGGCAGCAGGCCGCGCTCCCAGACAGCACCGAACATCAAGCCCCAGTCAACAGCCGTCCAGCGCAGCGGCTGCTGCTGCTGTTGCTACTGCCGGGCGGCCCCGCCCCCCGCTCACCGATCTTGAGCCAGGGGTAGATCTCCATGAGCTGCATGGCCAGCCACCGCCCCTCCAGCGCGTAGTGGGTGCTGCCCTCAAACGCCGCCTTGGTGAAGTTGGCGCCGCGCACCTGGCGGAACATCAGGATCTGCCCGGGCGGGCAGGCAGCGAGGTATGGGTAGGAGAAGGGCAGGCAGGCAGGCAGGCGGGGCATTGGGGGGCACGGAGGCATCGGGGAGGAGGGAGGCAGGAGGATGGTAGTAGCATGGGGAGGGAACAGGCAGGCAGCAGGGAGCGGGAAACCAGGGGGCAGCTCGCCACGGCGAGCGGGCGACCAGCGCACGCACGCGGCGATGGGCCGGCAGCAAAGGTGGAGATGAAGCTGGCGGGGGGCACCCCGCTCTCACCTCCCGCATGTATTCGCGCTGCTGGGAGCTGATGCAGCGCATGGCGTTGTAGCTGCACGCCTTGGTGTAAAACTCGGGCTCCTGCGCGAGAAGAAGCCCGCCACGTGCCACTTCAGCAAGACCTCCACATCAGCGCGGCAGCAGCGCCCTGGCTGCTGAGCCCGGTGGCACGGTGAATTCCGCTGTGCTGCGCTTGCGACCGGCTGCGACAGCAGTACAGCAGGCAGGTCAGCAGGCCAGGCGCACCTTGTTGCTGGGAGGCTCGATCTGCGGGTGGTCCCCCAGGTGGCTGCAGGGGGCGGCAGCGCGGCGCACACAGGGATGTGCGATGGATACATGTATCAATGGCAGGCTGGGCAGCAGCCAGATGACTGCTGCAGCGAAGATGCGCCAGGGCAGGGCAGGGCAGGGATGGCAGCGGCTGTGCCTGGTCGCAGCGGGTCGCGCCACTCACTGGAAGAGGCTGGTGGTGGCACACTTCTGGAAGCCGACAATATAGAAGTGAGGGAAGCGGAACTGGCGCTTGCCGCCCGACTGCCCCAGTGCCTGCGCCAAGGGCCGGCCACAGAAGCGGCGGCGGCGGGAGTCGGGCAGCATGGGCGGCCGCACGGAAGCAGCGGATGGCGGCCGGCACGCCGGCCGGCGGCATTCACAGCGGCTGGCAAGACCCGTTGCCTGTGCTGGCGGGCAGGAAAGCGTTGCGAGCTTGCCAAGCTCTTGCATGCATGCATGCGCCCCACCCAGACTCCCCCGCAGCGCAGCACACTCACCATGTCGGCCTGCCGTGTCAGGCACCCAAACTGGCCCTTGTTGTCGCAGGCGCCGACCTTCTCAGTAAACTTGCGCCCAACAGCCTCTGCATCCTCCTCCTCCGTCCCTTCCTCGTCCGCCTCCTGCTGCTCGCCCTCCTTCTCGCCCTGCTGCCCCTCTGCCTCTGCCGCGCTGGCCTGCTCGCCATCTGAGTCGAAGGCGGCAGCCTCCTCCGCCTCCTCCTCATCGGCCTCCTCCAGCTGCTGCCCTTGCTGCTGCTCCTTGGGCTGGGCCTCGGGCTGCTCCTCGCTCTTGTCGTCTAAGGTTGCCTCCAGCGCCGCTGCCACCGCTGCAACCTCTGCCTCCCCAGGCACATCTGGTTTCTTGCGGTCTAGCGCGGCAGCACCCAGCGCTGCCACGGCGTCTGCCACCTGCTGCTCATCCCCCTCCGCCTCCCATGACGCCTTGCCGCTGCCTGTGTCCAGATTGAGGCGCACCCGGAGGCGGTTGGGGGGCCTGCAGGGCGCAGCAGGCGGGGCGTCGTCATGTGCGAGGGCAGCGGCGACGTGGCGGCGGCAGGCAGACGACGACAGCTGGTGGTGTGGCCCAGGCAGCGGCACTCTGGATCGCCATGGCTACCTCATGCCCATTCTGCAGCGATGAGCCATCGCTCGGCAAGACAAGAGCGAAGCAAACTTTCATTCCCTGCTTACCCCATCGCGCCTCCAGGCGCCATCATATACACGCAACATAGCAACACGGCCACCACGGCTCCGATTATGGCCACGGCGAGGGGAGAGGTCCTGCACAGCGCGTTGAAGTGTCAACATCCCGCGAAGTGCAGCTCACGGAGAGAGCTTGAGCCGATGCTGCTGTCGTAAATCACACCCACCGCTTCCCATTGGCGGTAGGAGACTTGGGCGACAGCGTGGGTGCCAGCACCCCCATAGCGAGCGACCTGTTGTGCGTGCAGGCGTGCGTGCAGGCCAAGTGCGGGCAAGTGCGGGTACTGTGCGATGCGGAGGGGCAACCAGCAGTTGCGGGGAATGCCCAGAGCGCCTGATCGGCCGGTTCCATGCCCACCAGGTGGCGACAGGGCGCGCAGTACAGGCAGGTTGAAAGATTGAATTTGGACGAGGAGGGGGAAACTCCGCGGTGCTAGGGAGGCGCTGGGAGCGGCCTGAGCCCCTTGACGCGCACCACTGACCAAGCATCGGCCCGGCACCGGCTGCCAAGGACATGCCGCCGCCGCCGCCATGCCCGTCTGATCAAGGTGCTGCAATTGCACGTTGCGGGTGTTGCATGCTACCAGTCGGGCAGGTCTACTGTGTGCCAGAAATACAAAACAGCAAAATGACGGAGCCGCGGGCGCAGCTGCCGCAACCCCAGGCGGTGCTAGATGTCGGGCTCAGTGGCGTCTGCCTGCCGCCCCTCCGGGGCAACCCCGCACCTCTCCTCGCAGCAGCAGGCCGCGTCCTCCCACCAGTCGGCGTCCGCCAGGCAGCGCAGCGCCCCGCCCCGCCTGGGTGCATCCAGCAGAGCAGCTGAAGGGGCGGCGGAGGCGGCCTGCCGCGCATCGGGGTTCCCCGGCGCTGCTGGGAGGCTGCCTGATGCTGCGCCTGGCGGCGGCAGCGGCGGCTGGGCCTTGGGGGAGTCCATTGCCGCCCTCCCTGCACGCTGCTGAGAGCCAGGCGTCGACGGTCCCTTCAGCAAGCTGAGAGAACCAGGCAGGGCAGGGCAGGGCACCTCCCAGCGCCCTTGCTCCACCAGCACTCCCTTCACGCCCGAGCCAAGGTTCCCAGGTAGTTGTGCCCCGAAGGCTCTTGCCCTGTTCTGAGCTGGCAGGGCCCGACTCTGCTGGCCGTGAGAAAAACACGTTCAGGTAAAGAAAGGCAACTGGTTTACAACAACGCCTGGGCAGCCCCCGCTCCCGGAGGTGGCCACGTGCGCGCTTTCTTCCCTGCCCCCTGCTGCCACAGCCTCCGCAGCGCTGTGCTTCCCTAGGGCCAGTCTGCCACCACGCGGCGGAACTGCGCCAGCGGGCTGCGCGCCTCGTCGCAGCCGCTCATCTCGTACAGCCCCTGCGCGGTGGGCAGCATCTGGCGGATGGCCTTGACCCTGCAGGGGTGTTGGCGGATGGAGAGGGGCGGGGATGTGGCGGGTCAGGTGGGATGGTCATAAGAGGAGGGTGTGAGGCGAGCGAGGAGGCAGGGAGTATGGTATGAGCAGGGCGGGGCCCGGGGCAGCAGGGAAGGGCACGAGGCACGGCGCCGACGGAGCTGAGCATGCTGAAACCCGCCCGGCCGGCACCAGGCAGCGGGCAGGGGGCCTGTGGAGGAGACGAGGCAAGGCAGGAGACGGAACAGAGGGCAGGAGAGATACAAACCCGAGCCTCATGCCGCCCAGTGCACTGCTGGCACAGCGCCAGCACCAGGGACGCGCCTGTCGGAGGAGTGGGGGTGGGTGCGCAGGAAGCCGGGGATGCGGTCGCCGCCTTCCGCCTTCTCCGCGCGCCCCATCTTCTCAAACATGGTCACCATGGCTGCAGCAGAGAGGGGTCAGGGCAGAACAGCACAGGGGCCTTGAGTCCCGCACTTGGCTGCGTGTGCGTGGTCGGCCCGCTGCCGTCGCCAGTGCTGTGCTGAAGGGAGCAACAGCTGGTAGGGCGGTCCCTCCCTTCAAAATAACGCCACGAGCCGTGCGCAGCGCAGCGCAGCGCAGCACGGCACAGCGCAGCACGGCGCAGCTCAGCACGGCGCAGGGCGGCTCTTTGGTGGCTGGGCGCGGCGGGAGTCGGGCAGGGGGATGAAAACTAGTGGTGGATGACATAAAAGAAATAAACTGCTGCGCACCCGAGGGGTCATAACACGCCCGCGACATGATCTGCAGCCCAATGGCATCAGCCTCAGTCTCCGCCTTGCTGCGGGGGAAGAGGGCGCAGAAGGGGAGCAGGCGGGCAGGCAGGCGGGCACGCGTGGGCAGGGAGGGGAAAGCCCAACACGGCGGTCCAGGGAAGGCCGCACAAGACGCAGCGGCATGCGGCGACATGCGGCGACAGCGATGGGTGGGCAGGCTGCATGCCAAGGGCTGCGTGTAGTGCAGCGGCAGCTGCAGGCAGGCCAGCAGCAGCGGCCACAGGCGGGTGCCTCACCGCGAGTTGGGCAGGAAGAAAATGGCGGTCAGGGGGCCCGAGGGGATGGGCAGCCCAAACAGCCTGCAGGCAGGAGAATCGA